TTTATCTAGCAGACGCTTTTATCCAAAGCAACATTAATTTTAATTTTTTTTTTTAAGATTGGAGGGGTAGACAGTTCTTGGAACGATTGAGGCAGCTTTGGGGGGTGGCTTAATTGAGGGTTAAGGGCTTTACAAAACAACCAGATGCTGAAACCTCTGCTGATGCTGGGATCTGAACCTGCAACCATCCGATGACAGGAATAGCATCGTAACCTGTCTTTATTACTGTGTGTGTTGACGTTGGAGTGAATTCAAGCAAGTTTATGATAATGCACTGAATTATTGATAGCACGTTATCACCATATGCTAGTCAACAGCTATTCAGTGCAAGTCAGTTATCTTTCCATCCATAGCTCATATCCACTTATCCAGAGTCAAAGAAAGCCTGAAACCAATCCCTGGCAGCTTCAGATACAAAGCAGGGGACTTGCTGGTCACGCACTATGGTCACACACACTAATTATGGTCCCACACACTAATTTACTGTCACTAATTCAGCTCACTTTCTGAATTGCTGAAGAAATCAGCAGTTAGTGAAAGGGTCCCATGTTGCTTGGTTTGAAATGATACTTTATGCACCATTTGCACAAGTAGGCCTACACTGGAATATATATATGTCAGAGAGAAGCTCAGGGTCAGAGCAGAGGGTTAGCCGTTTTTGTGCCTTTCCGGTGTACTTTTCAGGGTTAGGGAACTTGCCCAAGGACCCAGTGGTGATGTGACTACTCTACCAAATAAAGGATTTAAACAAGTAATGTTCCGATCATGGACACAGAGCCCAAATACTGTAGTAGTTAAGAGTCAATCTGATGGCCTTGGGGTCACCCCAGTGTTTCCCTCTGTGTCTGTGTTATGGCTGGGCAGTGGCATATATTTTTGTTGAGTCGCCACGGTTTTAGGCAACGTCGGCTTCTTTTAGTGTCTTGGGATTCTGCCAGCTGCTCTTGGCTGGGATCACCATGCCACAAACAACTCGTACTGTGGCTGCCAGTGCTTTTGGGGAGCCAGTAATGACAGGATCAGTGCAGTCATCCATACACATGCAATTCTCATTCTTGATGATGGAGGTTAGGCTTTTTCAGGGGTGGGGGAAATACTTGATGGTGAATATCAACTTGTAAACAAGAAGGTTGCCAGTCACTGCTGTTAGACCCTTTACCGGAAATGTAGCTAAGCAACTGCAAATCACAAGGGTCACATTTTTAAGGCCTGCATCCTGAAGTTTAAAGCCCTCTCTTTCAGCTTTAAATGTTTCTAATCCCACTTTCAACCTCAGCCTCTATCCTCCTCAGCCCTTTCCTCCGAAAACTCTTTTCAAATAGTCAGGAAAAACAGAAACAGGCAGCCAAGAATTACCAATGACTTGGCATATAGGTGCAAATCTCTTCATTTAGGCCAAGAGAACACAATTTTTTCAGCCTTTAAGGTACAAACATCACACAGAGCTTACTATGACCCCAGCAACACCAAACAAGGCTATACTCAAAGTTTTTTTCGGACATTATTTTTGAGTAAATTCAGCTGGCAGCTTCTCTAGTTCATTCATTAACGACTGCTGAAGTTATTTGGCTTTGACATTGAAGCGAGGCACATGGACAGCTCCGATACAGGGCTTCCCAGCTCTGGCTGGACGTGACTCTTTAATGTTTATCTAGGGTTATGAGTATCAGCACTGGGAAATTGTGACCCCGAGGACTCTGCATCCCAAACTCCCTAGAGGAATGCCCTCCATGGGAAAAAATGCAGATATTAATGCTGGGAATAGGAAGTGTAACCCAGAGAGCAAGGGGGGGGTTAGCTCGTAACCTAAGATAAATAAAACAAAGTGGTAAAAAAAAAATGTGTTGAGCCTCCTGACAGAGGATGGATGTCTTAGACTTTCCTTGACTGCTCTTTTGAGGGGGTTGTTCACTAGCTGGAAACAATCAACCAAGTTTGCCATAAATGATGTTTCCTGTGGCAGTTTCGCCTTGAATGCTCACCCACGCTGCCTTTGTGTTAGCTCTGTGCTAACAGTTTGGTGTGTTGGGGGGGGGGGGGGGGGGGGGGGGGGGGGGGGGGGGGGGGGGGGGGGGGGGGGGGGGGGGGGGGTCTGCTGGTCTGTGCTTCACACCTGCAGTTCTTCTCTAGAAAAGTCCTACAATGGGACCACAAGAGTCCGGAGTCGTCCCAGAGACGCAGCCCCCCTACCTTTCAACAGTGGACCCCAATGGCGTAGCACACAAAGTGGGTTGCGGGTTTTGTGAATTCGATGGCCTGCGTTTGGCCCCAGATTCAATGCGGGGGCCAGAGTCCTGGAGGTAGCTTTCCCATGGGCTCCCTCAGCGGAACCGCTCCTCCCCCGATCCCCCTCTTCCGCTTTCCAAGCTTTCCCACCCCACTCGTGCCTCCAGCCTGTCTTTTAATTGTTTCCAGACCCCCCCGCCCCCCACACACACGCACACACTTGCTACCCACCACAACCCCCCCCCCCTTTATGCTGGATCATTCCATCTGTTCCCACAGCATATGACGCAGTATTTACTCACTCATATGCTTCCATATGTAACTTTTTGAGGTCAGAAAGGGGGGGGGGAATTACAACAATGTTGCCTTTAACCAGCAGGGCCCCCATCCACCAGCCTCCTGGACACTCTGCACAATTTCAGACTCATCAGGCCTGACTAAGAGGATAAGTAAGAATTTTTGGGGGGATGGGGGGTCGTATTATGCTGATTTGGACACTGCGCTGAACCACTGAATACCCATGATTAGTCACTGGTCACCAAGTTCCACCTAACATGCAGTGTTTCTTAACCCGGTCCTCAGGTAGCCCGAGATTTTGCTCCCTCCCAGCCCCCTGCCAGACAGTCCACAAACGAGGACCGGGCTGAGAAGCACTGCTTTAAGCGGATACGACGCCAAAATCCCAGATAACGGGAGGCCACACTGACCCTCCAGCCAGCTATCATCCCGCTTGACCAATGCTGCTCTACCACCATCCCATAAATGAGACGAAAGAATAGCCATTGTGCTGCTAAAGAGGCATAGGTGGGGGGGTACCTGATGGGGTTTATTCATTCGGACTGTAGCATGGAATTGTTTTCTATACTGATTTCTTTTGGGAATGCATGGTGGGGGGGGGGGTCACCCAGTAGGTGGGCTGAAAGTTGGGGTGGTTTTCTGACGGTGTGGATGTCTGCTCACTTATTTTTAATCTTTAGCTTTAGTGATATGCAGGGGTACTGCCACATATTTTGGGCCCCCAACCCAGACCAATCCGATTGTGTTACAAATTTTTTAGGGCCACAGTCAGTCAGGGGCCCTTGGAGACTAAAATCCCCCCCGCCCCCCATTACGGTCCCTGGTGATATGAATGACAGGGAGGTATCTGAAGGGACAGCCCAGCGGTGATTTGTCTGGTGATTTTATTTTTTGGAAGCTGGTTTTCATTCCCATCAGCCATTGCTATTTTCCTGTGGCAAAATGCATTAACTTATTAAAATGACACAGGGCACATTAAATTTCAGATTACTCTGATTCCACACACAAACTGGCTTATGTAAGGCAAGTAATGACATAAATTAATTTTACTTATCGCCACTTTATCATGGGCCCGTCTGGGCCCCCCCATTCAGATTGATAAAAATAAATATTTTTTATAATGCAATTTTTTAATATTAAGATTCACAAAATACATTAAATGTGAATTATTTTGTCTTGGGGATTAGTATAATTACGTATAAATAATAATAACATTCAGAGCATCTTCTCTTACGTTTCTTGACTAATCTTATGTTAACTCAGGCCTATAATTCTCTGGGAGTTTCTTGCTGCTCGATCAAACATTTAACTATATGTCATGGTTGTATTATTATTGTGGTCACTATATATTGTAGGAACGTAAGTATGTTTAATAAAACATGCAGTAATTAGCTTCGCTCAGGTCCATCCAGATTTAATGCAGACCCACTCACCAGCCTCTTTCTGTATCTGCCTCTCTTCAGAGGCTCAGAGAGGAGAGTCTCACCCCTCTGGGGCTGTGGGCTGGGTTCCCCCTCCTCCTGTATTTCGAGCTTGCCTGTTGTCCCTGTGTACGCATGGTGTTCCTCTCCCAGTCCAGTTGGGATCTCTTACCCCAACACACACAGTATAGGGAATTAAGTCAGGGGTGTCAAACTGCAGTCCTGGGGGGCGCAGCCCTGTGTAGCTTAGTTCTTTCCCTGTTCCACCACAAATGATTCAGCTCAACAGCCCCCCAGGACTGCAGTTTGACACCTGTGGGGTAAGTAGAATCTAGGTCACATAACTGCTGAATTATATCGCTGAATATTGCTTCTCTTTGAGGTGGCAGTCTAGCTTGAGTTAGAAACCATGAAAGGAGATCAGGAGATGCACAAGAATTTTCAATTATCATAAGAGAGAGATAGCAGGTGTCAGAATTCTGGAATAAGCACAAATCATAGTGATGTTGATGGGCAAGACCACCCAAGTGTGTTGCCGGGCATTAAGACCTATTGGGAAAAAAGTTCAGCCTGTGTGGAGTGTTCCAGCGGAAGATCTCCTGCCAACTGAGGTCAGCCGGGCATCTTGACAGCCTGCACTTTGAGAAGGCAATAGGGAGTGACTTTGTTGTCATTGTAAGGTAGCGAGTATAACAGAATTCAATGTCCCAGCTTGTTCTTCTATGAGACAACACACAAGAGCAAAAGTTTTGGGTCAGAATTCAGGGTTCACCGTTTTCTGGAACCCCAGAAGAGCTTTGGCTGTTGGGGCATTGGGGCATTGCTCACAGGTCTAACAATAATACAATTATTCTGCCAGTCACAGGATTTGGACAAGTAAGCTTTAGAGTCACAAACTGCCCTGAGAAGCCTTCCTCTAAAAAAAATAAAATAAAAAAAAAAAATAATAATAATAATAATAAACAGATAGATAGATAAAAATAAAAGATTACACTCTAGGTAATGAAATGAACCTTCATTTAACAGATTTTTTTTGTCTTTCTCTTCTTGCTACAGAACAAGTCATCATACATAGTCATACATACATAGTCATCATGAAGACTGACAGAGGAAACATGAGCATCCTTCTGGTCCTCCTTACAGGTGAGAGACAGCAGTCTTACGTGAGCAGCGAGTTCAAGATCACTGCACTGCTCACAGGACGTCTGTTACACCAGCAGTGGTGGATCGGGGTAGGGGGGGTTCAGCTGCCATCCCTTCCTTTGGGTTGCTACCCCATCTGCTACCCCAGTTTCAGGTGAAGTTCTCAGGTGAAGTTGACTCACAGCCAAGTATAGACTTTCTCAGGGGGGCTGGGGTGGGGGAGGGGGATGTTACTTTGGGGGATTTAGTGGCTTACAAGGTGTCTTCATCCCATTTACCCAACTTGACCTAAGACGCAAAGTGTGAAAGTGTAAGTGAAGCGCCCAAGTGTGCAGGGATTTCTTGAAAGCAATGGGACACCCTTGAAATCTGAAGTAGTAGATAATATTATTATTATTAAGAGACACGCTACAAATTGTCATTTGTGTTGGTTATGTTTGAGGTTGTCCTTCACTGTAACTTAGGCTATGTAATTATTTGTGGACAACTCTGGGCACTTAAATTAAAACTTCTTCAGAGGCATGTTGGGCTCTGAGTAACCTTTAGCTTGTGTTCGATGTAAACATTAGACATCACTCATGCACTGCATTGCTTCCATGCAGTATTTCCCAATGTGTGGATGAAGTGCACATTAAGCGTGCTGCACTTGGCTTATTTGAGGGGCAGGTCACCCTTGGATACTTACGGCAAGCACATGAAGGCGCCTGCCAAATTGGCTAGTGTGTAATTGTGTGCTTGGTGGGGCAAATGGGACGAATTCAGGGGCTGCATCCTTCGAAGGATGCAATCTATGGAGCCTCTGTAGGACGCAGTGAACGTTGGGATCTTGGCAAAGGAATAACTCATTCATAAGCTGCATCTGAAGGAACCTTCGATGTGGGCCGGCCCAGTCCTGCCACTGTGACACATTCAGTCTCTGAACGCAGCCTCAGGATGCAGCCGCTGAATTTGGACACAGCCGTAGTCTCCAGTGCTCAGAGTGCTGTGTAAGATAGTATTCCAGTAGATGATGTTAGCTCTCTCTCCCCTTCCATTCCTTTCGGCATCGTGCTGTGCATGTGCTTCAGACGTCAGCACGCCATCAGTCAGAGAGGTAACGTTAAAATGTTACTTTCTAATTATATGTCAACATAGTTTCCATAATTCAAAAATGTATGAATTAGTGATTTACACCATTTCTCTGCATCTTCCGTAGGGCCGTGTGATATCTAAAATAATAATAATAATATGTGATATTGAAAGTAAATTATAATTTTCCAATAATATCAAGTCGTCCACCCCCCTTGTAAATCCCGAGCATGGCACCACCATTACAAATGACATCCACATACACCGATAGTAAATGAGGAGTTAAAAATAATAGCAGCGGAAATGTAGACTAGAAGATTGAAGTGGGCTGTGGGGGTGAGGGAAAAGTCAGGATCAGGCGGTCAGAATTAAACGTGCGGAATAAATTATTGTTATTATATTCAATATATTCAATAAAATGCCAGCGTAAATTTGAATAAAATTCTAATACATCACACATAAATACCTGTACATCTGAAAAAATGTTTTTGTGATGCAGCCCCTTAAAATTTCCATGCCACCGTCTTGCCACCCCATGCAGAATATTCTGGATCTGCCCCTGTTTACCAGCCAGGACAGAGATTCCTCAACAATGCAGACACTACACACACATCTCTAAGTGTTCTCTCTAAACGATCCTAAAGCACTCTGGGTTTTGAACACTGGATGACATTGTCTCTCAGCCGGTTGAGTCCACACACGTGCACTGCCTTAACCTATTCTGAAGGTTTTCTGGTTTGTTCTGCAGCCTTTGTTCAGTTGTACCTCTTCAGCGAGGGCCTGGAAATCACCCCTAACAATTCAACCATCGTCCTGGAAGCCAATTCTAGCATTTCTATAACATGTTCTGGCTGGAGTGAAGTAGTCTGGACAAAAAGAACTTTGTCTCAGCGGGATCCCTCCTTGGTTTTGATCAAGAATGGTGCCACCTCTAGCACCCTGTTTCTGGAGGATGTGACGTGGAACCAGACAGGCGTGTACATTTGCAGCGAAACCATTGCGGAGGAAGCAAGAGAGATCTCCATTTTTGTGGCAGGTAGGACCTGGCCAGACGACAGACATGCTCTCTATATCTATCTATCTATCTATCTATCTATCTATCTATCTATCTATCTATCTATCTATCATCTGTTTATTATTATTATTATTATTATTATTATTATTATTATTATTATTATCATATGTCAGGGGTGTAACAGTTCTCCAATTCCAAGCTTCAGTTCAAGCCTCAGTTTTTTTTTTGAGGAGAGGGGTATTTCTTTTGGTGAATATGAAAAAAAACTGGGTTTTATTAATCGCAAACATTTTTGAATGCAATCTTGAGCGTTCTATTGAAACTAGCCTTGCTTTTATCGCTGGCATACTTTTATGTAATAATGTGAGGGTAAATTAATATAATAAAATATTAGATGTTTAACAAAATTTCAGGGGTTGATTATTGTGTAATTAGGCTGATGACTGGTTAACAGGTGGATGTTTGATATGCATACACAGCAGAAGAAATTGCAAAAATGTCAACAATTTCACTTCTCTTTCCATCTGTTTTCTTACAGACCCCAAGGTGTGGTTCATTCCAAACGAGCATGGCATGGTTACCAAGACAAGTGATGAGGGTACTGTTCCCTGCCTTGTCACCAACCCCAAAATCAACGTTACCCTCTATGAAAAATCAGCTGATACTCCTATGTTTGGAGAGTACAACCCAAGTACTGGATTCACAGCTTTTCTGGAAGACAGGACATACTACTGCAAAGGGGAACTTAATGGCGAGGAGAGGAGTTCCCAATTGTTTTACATTTTCAGCATTGTGGGTACGATAAAGGCATTCAATTCCATTCCCTCTCAGATTTTTTTTTAATGATGCTTGCAAATGTTTTAATTCTGTGTAGTTGTTTTGCTGTGGTTCTTTTTTGTGTGTGTTTGCTTTAGAAGTGCTTTCTAGCACTTCCCAGGCTGTAAATAAGAAACTATACTTGATGCTTTGCCTGGTAAAATAAAGGTTAAAATAAAAAATAAAATAAATAAGAGGCCAACCATGCACCAGATGAAAGTTGGCTAGTCGGTTTAATACAAATCTCTCTCTGTCTATTCAGCTCCAGAAATTCTTGAACCCAAAATCAAGGCCTCAAAGACTGTGCTGAGGAAGGGCGAGCCCCTCATGGTCAACTGTACTGTAAACGGAGCAGAAATAGTTTACTTTTCATGGAATTACCCGCACACAAAAGTAAGCATAACTATGCTGATTCTTGTCATTATATCAGCTGGGTTAAATGTGTGTGCCTGTCATCCGAAGGTTGCTGGTTCGAGCCCCGGTCTCGGCAGAATAGTCACGTATCTTTTGGTCCTTGAGCACGATCCTTAACCCCGCAAAGTGCTCTGGGGCATTGGATAAGTGACCTCATCCTGCACTTGGATCCCAAGCTTTGTTCTCAGCTGTATATAGCAGGGGTGGGGAACCGGATCCATGGAGGGCCGGTGCGGGTTTTTGGGATAACCTCCTAATCAGCCAATAACAGTGGGTCCTCAGGACTGGAGTTGAAAACCACTGCTTTATTATTGGCTGATTGAGAGGTCATCCCAGAAACCTGCACCCACACCGGCCCTCCATGGATCAGGTTCCCCACCGCTATTGTATGGTGTGTGTGTGTCACAGACGAGAGAAAGAAGGGTTATGCCAAGAGACTCATTCCGATGTGCCTGCACTCATACTTGTGCAAATGGCAAATAAAGGATAATTGGCTCCGAAATTCATGTTCATGAAGTGTTTTATGTGCTGTGGTAAAGTTCTACTTGCAGAGATTCAAGTTGATGCAGAGTATGTTGCTGTTTCTTTAAAAGGGCAAGACTATCGAGCCCCTGACTGACTTCATGTCCAGCACAAGTATGCGCTCCTTTCTCAACATAAGCAGTGCCACCCTGGACAACTCAGGCCAGTACACCTGCCACGTCTATGAAGGAGTTCAGGAAAACAAGGCCAATATCAGCATGAACATCACAGTCCTTGGTGAGCCGCGCAGATCTCTCAGAAAACAACAGGCAGGAGGTCGAGCCGTCGCTTAGCTTCACCCAAGAGAGCAGCACGTTAATGAAGAAAAAGGAGAATCGTACTTTAGTTTTAGCCACAGCTGGGGTAGAAGGGCTCCAACATCTGTGAATGCGAAGTCTGTCCTTATGTGAGGTGTCTCAAAATTAAATTTCCCCGCTTAACACCACAGAGCCAAAATGGCACAATAGTTTCCCTTGAACACAGTAAGGCGTGCATACAGGATGTCTGGCAGCTCACTAGCTCTGACTGCCAGAAATGTAAACGAGGGGACCTGACCAGGCTTTTAAAGGGACAGCCTAGTCATTCTGCTAAGCAGTGTGCCAGGTAAGCAAAATCACAGTGGAAAAGCCCCAGCTGCTGTCAGCAGGCCTCCATTCCGGGTTAATGGGCTTAGACCACCGCCGTGACTTGGCCCCTAACCATTCCCCCTTCCTGGCAAAGCCTCCCAAGCTTTCTACTCTGTTACTTAGGGGAATTTAGTGGCTTACAAGGTCTCTTCAATTTTGATCACTGCCACCTAGTGGATGACTGAATTACCAACATCTGACTGAATTGCTTACTATGTTGTTAGAACTGAAGCCTCCATAAGGAATTTGGTAAATACTGCTTTCTTATTGGTCCAGAGATGTCACATGGGTATTGATGATTTTCCTGTAATTGCACAGGTAGTTCCAGCATCCCAGTAACAGTTATATATTAATGCTTTTTAATATTTTATTAAACATGTTAATATGAAATCTGTGATATGAAAACTATAAATAAGCAGTCATTCTTTATATTGTGCCGACACTTTTATTGTGCCAAGTGGAGCTTCGGATTAAGCTCCTCTCGTTACTTGAGATATACTCTTTATTCACCATTTTAGATTATTGCGCCATTAAGCTGGAGCCGACAGGGAAAGATTACTGAAATAGGAGAGATAAATAGAGGATGAGAGGAGGGAGAGAAAGAGAAGAGGGAAAAAGAGAGAAAGAGAAGAGCGACAGATAGAGAGAGAAAAACAGGGAAAGAAAAATAATACATGACAACTTAAGAAAAAGTGGAGCAAAAGGAAAGAGGAACAAAAGGAAGCTTCTGCATCTTAGTGCTGGACACTGTGTCATCACACCAGCTGCTGCATCTGAAAAACAAGATCCAGGTGCATAAAAAGTATACAGAGAAAGAAACCAGTGGTACCATTATGACAGAGAATAAGCTTGTGCCAGTATCTGCTTCTGGAGTTAAATACATTAATACCAAAGAAAAAAATACATAAGCAGACCAACAGGAACACGGTCTGGATATCGCCATACCAGTATCTGCATCTGAGAAGGAAGGATGGAAGCCAAACACACACACAGACACACATACACACACACATACACACACACACACACACACACACACACACACACACACAGATAAGAAGGAGAGGGATAAAATAGGGCAAGAAAACCCTGGGCTATCTTGTATGTGTGTGTGTGTATGTGTGTGTGTGTGTGTGTGTGTGTGTGTGTATGTGTGTGTGTGTGTGTATGTGTGTGTGTGCGTGTCTATGTATGTGCGCGTTCTATGTGTACAGTATGTGGGTGGATGTGAATGTGTGTGTATGTGTGTGTGTGCATACTGTATATGCGTGTGTGTGCGCATGTGTGTATGGGTGGATGTGAATGTATGTGTGCATGTGCATATATACGTGTGTGTGCACGCATTTGTGTATGTTTGTGTGTTGTGAGTGTATGTATGAGTGTGCAGGTTAACATGGAATAATTTCCAATGAGTGTGCGAGACCACAATGTCGTCCCGGGGCCCTCTAGACGGGCAGGAGAGCCCCGAGCGATCATGAACCCAGCCGCCCCACAGCGGCCAGGTACCCAGGCCTCCCACCACTGGAGAGCTGCGTGTCCGCCCAAGGTGGCAGAGGGGGGAGGCACCGGGCTCCCCCCACCGGCGAGCACAAGCCAGGGGCCCCACGGCCACAGGCAGCAGCGCGCCGGTTCCCCCCCGGGGCCCAGCTGCGCAGGCACGAATAGAGCCTGGAGCCCGGTCCACCTGCGCACCCCTGGGGAGACCTGCACCCCCCCAAGAACCCCCACCTGGGGGACCAGGGGGACTCCCTGAGAGTCACCAGGCACCCCCGCCCCTGGCTACCCCGACCGCCCCTCCCCCAAGCCCAGACCCCCCCCAACCTTCCCTCCCCCAAATCCCCTCACTACCGCCCCCACACCGCCCCATCATTCACGTGCTCCCCCGTTCCAGGACAAGCAGTCAAACCAAGTTGTCGTTGATTATTTTTGTACACCTCGTTTATCCCTCATTGTAAGTGAAACGTTGTACTGTATTTAACATACTAGTGAATAAAACACATCTGTGTGTACATATACACGCTCTAGTGAGGATCCTACAGTCTGTATAACCAGCATTAAGTCACCAAGACCAATCTCTGTCTTGCAGAGCAAGGATTTGTGAAGCTCCACTCGGTAATGAGCCAGAACATCTCGACACAGCTGCAGGAAAGCGTCCAGTTTAGGGTGCTTATTGACGCCTACCCCAAGCCCCTGGTGAACTGGACCAATGACCACGCCCTACTTTTTGGAGACACCGTCTCTGTTGAAACTAGACAGCTGCAGGAGACCAGGTGACTGCACCTCTGCTTCCGTCGGCCACCACACAGAATACCTAATAGAAGTGTTTTGTCTTTAACATGCGACCGAGAGACTACTCGGGGTTATATATAGTTATGTCACTCCCAGGTACATCAGCACCTTGACCCTGTTGCGAGTCACAATGGAACAGAAGGGCCTTTACACCATCCACGCCACCAATGAGGATGACGAACAGGAGATGAACTTTGATCTCGATGTCACTGGTACGGGGGTGGGGGGCTGGGTCATGTGCCAATGTCATAGGGCTGCACGATTTGGGGAAAATATCGAATTGCGATTTTTCTGACAGAAATTGCGATTGCGATTTGATTTTTTATGTCAAGCTTCAGTTCAATATTCAGTGTGTAGTAATTTTAAAATTTACAGCGTGGAACATAAGTATTGAATGCGTCAACATTTTTCTCAGTAAATATATTTCTAAAGGATCTATTGACATGAAATTTACACCAGATGTCGGTAACAACCCAAGTAATCCACACATACAAAGAAATCAAAACAAATAAGTACATAGATTAAGTTATGTGAAATAAGGTGAAATGACACAGTGAAATTTATTTAAATTTGTTTAAAAGGAGCTTGCCGGTTCTATTGATGATAGGACCTTTCTGAAACAATCTCAGACCATGAAATAGGAAGGCAATTCACTTATAGCTCAGTAACGGAATCAGTATTTTTCCGCACCGTGAATGTAACATTTTCTTTGGGTTTCACGTGTTTGCTGTTTATGGGTTTATAGTCCTTCATGGGCCACGTCTGATTGGTGAGCATGACTGGCACGTGACAAGCACGGCGCTTGTGATTGGTGAGAATGACTGTCACACAGGGAACACGTCATGAATTTCTAAAACTATTCTCACGGCAGTTTTAAACCCTGGGTCCGATGTACTGTATAATGTATATCCTAAATCGCGATTTTGGCGACTTGCTAATCGCGTTGTTTCAAATCGCGATTTCGATTTGAAATCGATAAATCGTGCAGCCCTACCATGTCATCACCACCTGTGTTCCCACCAATCATGCGTCCTCTGCAGCTCCCCCTTCTCCTTCCTTCCGACACAGTTTTTCCTCACAGTTCATTCTTCCATTCCCACCTACCAGATAGATTCAAATCAACTCAGTTGAAGACATTTTATTTAATATAATGTCTTTGCCAAAATGGTTGCGCTAAACTTTTTAACATATAATTGCATTATAGTGGCACTTACTGACCTGCCACTTTGTGGGGTAACAATAGTTTAAATCATATGGAGCAGAGAAAATAAAATTCTATAGTTAGAAAAAATCCTGGGGGTCTGAGGTCAACTGGCCATCAAACCTCCCCGTCACTCAATAAACAGGAAGGGTGTCTTTAGTGCAATCTTCCATCACGCCATCTTCAAAACAAGAAAACGTTCAGGGAAAGTCTTAACAGCTGTTGTCACAGCCTCGGTTTATGCACACTCTGCATCCCTCCCCCATGTGTGAAGTGATTATCACTCCCCTCCCTAAGAGAGTGGTCAGGTTGGGCCTTTGTCAAGCAACCTCTCCCTGACAGTTCTCCCTCACATCGTGGAACTGTCGGACTACAGTATTGCCGAAAAGCAACATGGCGTTGTGTGTGCAGCAGAGGGCGCACCCTTCCCGAGAATAAAGTGGTACAGCTGCGACAGCATGTACAAGTGAGTACGCAGTCTGTGTTTTTAATACTCTTGCTGTGCTTTACATTCTCCACCAGGGGGCAATGTGGTAACTTGAAACATGCTTATTGCTGATCGTATTCCATGCATTTCTCGATGATTTTTCTTAGTCCTTCTGTCATGAAGTCATTTTTCATAGTTCCATATTCCAGTGAATTATGTCATATCCTTCTAAGACCTTGCAGTTTGCTTTCTCTGGTGTGCATCGTAAAACCACAGTCTCTAGTCTGCGTTTTAAGAACCATACGTTCAGTCATGCTGAAACCTGAAATACTGTGTAGGACATCCTGGGCTTTTCAGTGACATCACATTTATTGTGGTGTTACTAGGACACTATTATGTCAAAAACACAAATGCTAAAATCTTATTTCTAGGATATAACACAAGTATTTTATATTCATGGTATATACAGTCAATAAGTGTGATAATGCTTTAAATCCCCACATGTCAGATTTTAAGGTTCTACTTTAAACCAAGTAAAATTTATGACATGCTACATCTTTTGTGCCTATTTCCAATAATTAATGTGGATGGAAGTTTTAATAAATTATGAATATTGTTTCTTACCTTCACAACAGTAGAACATTCAGAAGTATAATGGCTTTGTGTACTATCACTCCAGGTGCAGCAATCAAACCAATGCATGGCGACCACTGAAGTCCGAACCTGAAAACCTGGACATCCAGACAAACATGACCTACAACGAGACCCGGAAAATCCACCAGACACGGAGCGTTCTGACCTTCCTCAAGCTGCAGAAGATCATGTCCGTCCGCTGTGAAGCCAGCAACGCCCTGGGTGGCCGGGCACGGAACATAAAGCTCTTTTCAAGCAGTACGCTCCTCCTTGACGTGATAAACAAACACATAAGGCTATAATGCTTTGATATGCTGTACTGTGCAAAAGTCTCAGGCAGTCAGAGAAAATGCATAAAGCTTTTTATCTGGGTAGTAGATGTATATTTGGTCAGTAAAATAAAACACAATTTAACACAGAATACATGCAAAAGAACAGTAATATAATTAAAAAGCAACTACAATAAACTAGTTAACTTGCTGAGGCATTGATTAGGGGTGGCATGGTGGTGCAGTGATTAGCAGTGTTCCCTCCCACCTCTGAGATCAGGGTTCGAGTCTTCGCCACGGCTCCATGTGTGTGGAGTTTGCATGTTCTCCCCATGTCATTGTGGGGTTCCTTCTGGGTACTTCTCCCAGTCCAAAAACATGCTGAGGGTAATTGACATTACCAAATTGCCCGTGTGTGTGTGTATACCCTGTGCTGGGTTGGCACCCCATCTTGGATTGTTTCCTGCCTTGTGTCCATAGGCTCCAGACCCCTGGCGATCCTGAATAGGACAAGCGGTTACAAAAAATGGATGGTATTGATTAGCCAAATATGGTATGCTGGCAAATACATGCATTGGACATATTGAATTACTGCAAATAATGGGTGGGTTTTGTAATGGCTAAGCTAAAACATGTTGATATAAATAATATTGAAGAGTTGCACCAATATGATGATCATTATAACATTTTTTGGCTGCCTAAGGCTTTTGTACAGCACTATATATACCTTCACTTGAACGCCTATGAAACTTTCAGGAATAAATATTATGAAAATCTGTTAGCTGGATGACAGGTTTCAGAGCTGACTTTAATCCTGTGCCATTGACAGTTAAGCTTGTAACCACATCCTCTCTGTTTCCATAGCGCTCTTCTCACAGGTGGCTGTTCTGGCCGCGGTCCTGGCCCTCGTGGTCATTGCCGTGATTTCCATCATTATCCTGATCGCGCTGTGGAGGAAGGTGAGAGCAAGCGGCCTGCACTTCCGGAAACCTCTTTAATTAATTTAATTTTAGTTAATGCGTGATTACTGATTCTGCGTGGAAGGGAAGGAAGAGCAAAGTGCCCCATCGTGGCAGCTGCAGCTGCTGGGTCACGGGCAGTGAAGAAAGGACATTTTTCTAACATCAGCCTGCTCTGTGGCTCCCTGCCTTTCCTACAGAAGCCACGATATGAGATCAGGTGGAAGGTGATTGAGTCAGTGAGCTCAGATGGACATGAATACATCTACGTGGATCCCATGCACCTGCCCTACGATTCGGCCTGGGAGATGCCCCGAGATAGCCTGGTTTTGGGTAAGGGGAGTCCTGGGTAGTTAACATTCTAAATGCATAGATATATCCATCTAGCTAACCCTACCTAACCCTACCTCTATTAATTAAAAATAGTGGTAAATAATATTTTCAACCATCTTACAACCATTTTTGCTGCAAAGGGTAGGGGGAGAAAGTCAAATACAGACACTCCTCATTAACGACCCACCTGTTTAACGACCACGTGGACTTACGAGCAGCTCTCCGACCGGTCAGCATTGTACGCTGTATGAGAACTTTGGCTGTTTCCACGGCAGCACGATACATATTAGAGCCGATTTACTCTATTCTCTTTACTACAGTACAGAGTACACTACTGAATAACATCTATACATATACAAAAAATGTAATAAATGGTGCAAAAACAATATGCTTGTAATATCAGTAAGGGGCAGCTCCTCGCTTATCGACCAATCCGCTTAACGTCCTAGTCGTTTGAACGGAACTTAATTAATTGAAGAGTGTCTGCATAATAAATAATAAAAAAAAAACAATAAAATATCTTTGATCGCATGTGGTATTTCAGGTCGCACTCTGGGCTCCGGGGCGTTCGGAAGAGTGGTCGAGGCGACCGCCTACGGCCTTGGCCATTCACAGTCCACCATGAAGGTTGCGGTGAAAATGCTGAAGTGTAGGTATCACATGGAGCCCTGTGTTTGTTTTTCCAGCTTGTTTTAAGGGCAGTTGATGCTTTTCCGCTCTTTGGAATGCTGTGATGCTTCAGGCTAACCACACTCCCTCCATACCCTCCTTTCCTTTATCAAAATTAATTCCCATTTCACAGATTTAATGCTTTTTATTAGCATGCCTGCTTATAACCACATTCATGTACGTTATTGGACATCTCAGGGTGAGGTGAGGTCAGGGGACCGGGCCTTATAACCACGTTCATGTACGTTATTGGACATCTCAGGGTGAGGTGAGGTCAGGGGACCGGGCCTTATAACCACGTTCATGTACGTTATTGGACATCTCAGGGTGGGGTGAGGTCAGGGGACCGGGCCTAGATCCTGAAGCCCAGTCTCACACAGTGTTGTCACCTTTCCCTCTTCAGTGTGTTTCCCTCGTCGTTTTCATTCCTCCTCAAAAACTCACCTCCACCTCCCATCAATTGAGTTACCTGGTTCTGTTCTGCATGGCAGAGGACTTACAGAACTGATCAAGAAATCTGTAATGTGCCCTTGAATGTATATGCTTCAAACATGTGTCACATTTATCATATGTACACACACAGACACAGTGTGTGTGTGTATATATGTATATATATATATTGCCTATAGATATTGCTTGTGAGCTGACTCTGCCCCCCCCCCATAAAACCACAGCCACAGCACGCAAGAGCGAAACCCAGGCCCTGATGTCCGAGCTGAAGATCATGAGTCACCTGGGGCCACACCTCAACATTGTTAACCTGCTGGGGGCGTGTACCAAGCAAGGTGAGCTCCTGCCATCTGCCCTGCACCACAGACACGGCTGTCAGTCTCTGCTGCCATGTTCTCCAGCCTTACTATTTAAATGTTATAGTTATCACTGCAATTTTGAGTATTTTTTGACGTATTTGATTTTTAATTATTTTTTGTACTTTTTTCCCCAAAAATTACATGAAAACGGTAGCTGTCTCACTGTGTATTTGAATTACGTGTTTCTACTAAATACTGTATAAAATTAATAATTTGGTGGAATTAAACTGGATGCAAATGTTGGAATCATGCATCTGTGCATTTAGTTGTCCCCTGTAAGCAAGCACGTTACGAAAAGGGTTGGAAAAAAAGTTAACCTCTGTGATATTTGCAAACACGGGTGTATGTAAACCGAAAGTGTCTACAGTTTTGATACTGTTTTTATTTTTGGTACAGGTCCGATCTACCTGATAACCGAGTACTGTCGCTATGGAGACCTGGTGGACTACCTTCACCGGAACAAGCACACCTTTTTGCAGTACTATGCGGACAAGAGTCGCCGGGATGCAGACATGTGTGCAAACAGCGTGTCAACGGGTCAGGGAAAAGGGTAAGGAGGGCGATCGCTCCCAGTCCCTTCACCACACCATCAGGCCCTGGAACATTCTGCGTGACATCATCCCTAGACAGGGGACCAAGCATTAATACACTGCTAAAATTCAATTCAATTCAATTATATTTATATAGTGCTTTTAACAACAGTCATTGTCACAAAGATCTTTACATATAATCGGCCCGAACCCCCACCAAGTAAGCCTGAGGCGACAGAGGCAAGGAAAAATTCCCTCTAGCAGGAAGAAACCTTGAGAGGAACCTTGAGTTGGAAGGGGACCCCATCCTCCTCTGGGCGACCGGGGTGCATGAAAGCCTTTATATCAATGAAAAGATGGTCTGTGGTACAGAGTGAAGCATTGCTGGCTCATACCACCTGGGATGTGGGTTCGAGTTCCACCCCTGATTGGGTGTGTGCAAAGTTTGCATGTGTTGAGCGTCGTTCTTCCAGGTTCTCTGGTTTGCTTCCGCAGTCCATGATTTGTCCCATGTGAGTGCGTGGTTATGTATGTGTGTATGCCCTATGATGGACCGGTGTTCTATCTTGAGTGTACCCTATCCCGCCTAGAATAGGTTCCATAATGTCCCTGGAATGCATAGGTGGCTGGAAGATACACGGTACCTTTGTGGATGGCATGGTCACTCATTGCTTAGCGTTTTCAGTTCTCAGTCTTGTATTTGGGGGTCCATTTGTTCATCCTTTGTTGCGTATGTTTCCTCTGGTCTGCTCTAGGTTACAGTCCATAAACATACAAAAAGTTTGACTGTCTCTTAATAGTCCATGTTTCTAGAGTATGTGCCGTGTGATGGATCGGCGACCTGTCCGGGGTGTCCCCTACTCAGACCCTGGGCCTGCTGGGACAGGCTTGTGGCTCCCCACAACCAGTTCTGGGTTAATGTTTATGGAAAATGAGTGGATGGATCATTAGCAGACAGAGAGAGCAAGATGGATGGGTTGCTATCACACAGGGACTCATAGCAACATTACACAGCTGGTTAGGAGACATTGTTTCTGGCATCACATTACAGGTGTTTTGCCAGCCTTAGACCTGACTTTCATATTTATCATGCTGGGGTTAAAAATGGCCCATCGTCAAGAGGTAACAGAGAGTGACACTATAAGAAGCTTCTTCACAGGCCACAAGCGGTGTGACTGACAATGAAATGTCGTTCAGCAGTGAATGTGACGGAGGCTACATGGACATGAGCAAGGATGACACCATGGAGTACGTGCCGATGCAGGAGCTGAATGACAGCATCAAGTACGCCGACATAGAGCCATCGCCCTATGAAACACATTACCAGCAGGATAACTACCAGGGACAAGGTAAAAAAAGAAATAGCTAATGAGGGCCTGAACTAGAACTTTCCTCCGCATCCAAAACCCACTCTCACCCCTTGCCCTCATAGTAATAACAAGGTAACATTAGACCATATACAATAGACCATATATAGCTTTTGAGCTGGAGGAAAGGACTTTAAATAAATATCCAGAGGAAAGAATTTATGTATACACTGTAATACATTATGTACAGATATAGAATTCAATGTTAGTCTTGTGTTTTCTACTAGAAAGATAAATTTAGTGAGTGACTGTCCAGCTGGGGTTCTCACCGTGAGATCCAATGAAGATCCTCTTGCTTTGTGTCTGGGTTGCAGTCCAGGAGAGGGTAGACGCAGCCCTGGTTATCAGTGACTCCCCCATCCTGAGCTACGCGGACCTGGTGGGCTTCAGCTATCAGGTGGCCAAAGGGATGGAGTTCCTGGCAGCCAAAAATGTATGTTACAGCATGATTTTCCCCTGAGTCCTGGTGCTGGGAGACCTGTGTGGAAACTAGCTTCTGTACTGGTTGACCCGTTACAATATGAAATTTTATTTCATTTTTATTGATTTACAGAGGTGGGGATTTCAGGTCCAGAGAGTACACATCCAGACCAAGATTTTGTTTCAACCAATCAGTTGAGTATAAAGAGTCACAGTCACAGAGTACTCAACTGGGATTTGTTTCCCAAACAACGACAGAAGTTAGCATTAATGATGTATCGTACTATGGTAGTTCAAACTAACCAACATCCGAAGTACGACTTTCCCAAAATTGTCGTACCACAGTAGTTTGAACCACGTTAGTTTTTAACTACCGTAGTTCGAAACTACAATGGATCCAGCGATGATTGGTCTGACTCACGGCGAGTTGTGCACAAAAACTAACCTTTAAACTTTATAATATCAATGGTCTAACTTTCACAGCCAGTCGCGTAGAAAAACTCGCGAACTGTGCTGTGTATTATCATATAAATATATAACAATCATATATATATGTCATCATCATTAATTTATTGTGTCAGTCACATAACACCAATAATAAGAAAAACTCAGAAAGACGCTTTCTGGATAAAATTAGACACCCCTGTGCTAATAAAATACTCTGCAGTCTGAGAATTCTCCCTATTGCTCACTACAGACAGTTGCCGACTTGGTCGATCTAATGTACAATTATATCATACTTATGACCAGAGACCCACACAACAATTACGTTTCAAACTACATTTTCAGACAACTTCACATTATATGTGATCGTAGAGCTAAATTACTCCTTATTAGGTACTAAAGATTATTACATTTCTTACTTGACGATGACCATACCCTTCTTAGACTGCATTTTCCACCATCGCTGACGTATTTACCCAGAACTAAGCTTCTAACTACAGCTCGAAAACTGTAGTTCAAACTATGCAACTTAACGACAGTTAACACCTGTGTCGTACTTACATAGTTCGAACCACGCAAGTTGCTAACGTAGTTAGCAACTATGGTTTTGGGAAACGCACCCCCGGTTCTTTGCAACAAAATCTTGGTCTGGATTTGTACTCTGTGGACCTGAAATCTCCACCTCTGTTGATTTACTGATTGCCATTATATTTTGAGAATTATTTGTAAGAATATAGCCGAAACTCTTTCCAATTTATAATAGTAATTTGTGTGTAATTCTTTACATTTAAGGTCACAGACCCTGGAAATTTACTGAACGACTCTTTAATGCTCATTTAAGATAAATATATTTAATTCGTTGCACAAGGCGCACAAATGAAATGAAAATTATACTTCATTCCCCTAAATACATTTGTAACACTTCTTTTTAACTCTTGTAAATAAATGTAACATTTAATTTATTATGATATTCCATGCATTGTCTCATCAATCTCATTCATTTGTTTTAATTATTAAGTGTCTACTTGGGACAAAACCAAGTGAAAAGAGATAGTGGCTGTATATTTATATTATGTTAAATCACGTGGTGGCAAAATAATGTAGCATTTAACGCTTTGAGTGCTAAACATGTGATTGCTTAAGATGTCCCCGTTCGTTCTGCAGTGCGTTCACCGTGACCTTGCGGCTCGAAACGTCCTGATCTGCGAGGGGAAACTGGTGAAAATCTGTGACTTTGGTTTGGCCAGGGACATCATGCATGACTCCAACTACATCTCCAAGGGCAATGTGAGTACTGGTCCTTTCAGTACTGGAACATTCCTTGAGTTTATTTATATAAGTGCTGGTCAACTTGCTTTTGCAAAAGTGAGTCACAGGAAATGTATGCAGCCGCACATGTTACAGTCTAGCACTTCCTCAAGGTTGCAGTAGTTGGAGTTTTCATGATACTTGAACCACTTGAGGCCCTTTACAGTAATGGTATCAAAACTAGAGGTCACACTGCTATTGGCCATCATCAAGTGCCCAACTCTTTGAATGCAAATATGTGGAAATGGAGGCCTGTACCCATGTACCTTTAGACCTTCCTTCCTCTGAAATGGAGGCCTGTACCCTTGTACCTTTAGACCTTCCTTCCTCTGAAATGGAGGCCTGTACCCTTGTACCTTTAGACCTTCCTTCCTCTGAAATGGAGGCCTGTACTCTTGTACCTTTAGACATTCCTTCCTCTGAAATGGAGGCCTGTACTATTGTACCTTTAGACCTTCCTTCCTCTGAAATGGAGGCCTGTACTTTTGTACCTTTAGACCTTCCTTCCTCTGAAATGGATGGCTCCAGAAAGCATCTTCCATAACCTCTACACCACTCTGAGTGACGTCTGGTCCTATGGCATCCTGCTGTGGGAGATCTTCACCCTGGGCAAGTATATTATTCATTTCAAGGCGTATGAAACATACCAATGGGCTGTGGTGGACACATGGGAACATGGGTTCTGCTCAAAATGTTTTAATTTCCTGGAAGTCTTATTTCCTGGACGACTTTTTATCTTTCAGCAACAAATTCCTACCAAAATCTTATACATAATATAAAAATTGATCCTTTATCATGGATCTGGACAGGTTTGCACTTGTAGCTCATGGGAACAGAATGGGTTTATTAACAAAAACAGTACAAAATAAAGGACCACGAGGGGTCAAAACTAAAAAGGGGAAAAACAAAGACTAATTTAAAATTGGGTCGGGAAACAAGGAGGGCAGGCAGCAAAGAACATCATACATCAAACAATGAGCCACCGGGGAACTGAACTGAGGCAGGGACTTTAATACTAAGGGGTAACGAGACTAACACAGGAGAGGTGAGACTAATTAACAAGAACTAGTAAAACAGGCCACAGGTGAAACTAATAAACTAAAACATGAAAAACTAGGAAACAGAATCTAACAATGGGGACAACAGACGGGTAAAAACACAATCAAGGGCACAAGGGCAAAAGACCAAAACTGAATACAAATCAAAACACAGGGACTAGAAAACTGATACAACTGAAACACAAGGGAACAAAATCTACAAAACTACAGAAACAGGAGGTGGGATTTGAACACGCGACAAAGGGATTTGGAGGTAGCTCCATGCACTACACAGTGAGCTATGCAGCTGACATGGAGTAGGGGAAACATGAACACTGACAGGAGGGACAGGATGGCCAGCGACACCTGCTGGCCAAACGGGGAAGGGACACCACAGACTGGGAACAACAGGAGCTGACCCTGACGTCCTTAATTTATCTTAATGTCATTCAGAGGTGGACATTTCAGGTCCAGAAAGTAAAACTCCAAACCAGGATTTTGTTTCAACCAACCAGTTGAGTTCTCTGTGACAGTGACTCTTTATTCTCAATTGGTTGGTTGAAACAAAATCCTGGTTTGGATTTTTACTTTCTGGACCTGAAATGTCCACCTTTGATGTCATTTTACTATTTTGGTCATTACATTCTCAACAAGTCGTTCTCCTCCTTTCTTTCATCAATCATATTATTTGTTTGTGCAATTCAATCTAGGCCTGCATATAAGATTATAAAAAGAACTGGAAGATTTCCTGCTTTGATTTTTTTCCCCCTTTCAACTTAAGTTTGTTAAACTTGCCAATTCCCAGGAGGAACCCCCTACCCCGACCTCCCCATGAACGACCTGTTCTACAGCGCGCTAAAGGGAGGTTACAGGATGACTAAGCCCTCTCACGCCACCGACGACATGTACGTCCTCACCCTTCCGTTCCTCCTTCCATGCTTCTCTCTGGCTCATCATTATAGTCATGGTACCTTAGATTTGGAAGATAACAGAAACGGGGTGAAGCAGTTTATTCCCAACCATGTTTTCCAGTTATGATATAATGCGGAAATGCTGGGACGAAAAGTTTGAGAAGAGACCCGAGTTCTCATTTTTGGTTCACACAATGGGGAACATGTTGCCTGACAGCTACAAAAAGGTATCGTACTTTGCATTTCTAATTTATCCTGTTGGAGAAGGGAAATCTACTGGCTACAGATATGTCCCTCTTTCTTCCCCCGGAACAGAAATACAGCCAGGTGAACGAGAGTTTCTTAAAGAGTGATCACCCTGCCGTGGCACGCACTAAATCCAGGCTGTCGAGACCGTCGCTGTCCCCAAGCCAGCCTGCTGTGGCCATCCGGCAAGAGGCCGAGGGGGAAGAGGCCACAACTTCCTACAACGAGTACATTATCCCCATCCCGGATCCCAAACCGGAGGAAGTCTGTGACAAAGGCGATACTTCCCCTGAAAGTCCCTTGAGGTATGGCTAAGGAGTGGATGGCTGACTAGCGTCTGGGTGCGATGACGTCAGTCTAAGTCTGCATGAGGAACGTGCTAGAAAAAGGAGACTTGAGCTTAAATAAAGAGGGTTCTTCCACCATTGCCCAATACTCGGCTGCCAGATGTGCGATAAGAATATTACATACACTTTACAGATACAGATCTGTGCAAAAGTCATTGAAGAATTTCCTGTTTTAAGTTATCTGGACAGAAAGTGTATATTTGCGGACAAAAACATTGTTTATCATTAGATTGTACACTGATAAGCAGTCATACAATAAAAAGGAACGCAAACTTTTTCTGTTTTTCCAAAAGTTAGACACTTTGTTGCATGGCTAAAAAAACACAGCCTTGGTTCATAAATATACTGTATCTTCAAGGACACCTCAGCCAATTTTACCACCAGCACACTTAAATAATTAACCTAATTAATTAATAAATTAAATTAAATTAAATTAAAGTTTAATTTAAAATTTAATGAGGCTTAGTCAAACTATCCTCCCCCTCTCTCTCTCTCTCTCTCTCTCTCTCTCTATATATATATATATATATATATATATATGTGCTCAAAAAAGACAAGTAACACAATCCGACCAGACAATGTTACAGTGAAGTAATTACGTGGAATATCGTTTCTTGTGTCAAAATTGTGGCCACGATAAAAAAAAAAACTATGTGGTATTTCTTAGTCAATAACCTTCCAGGAGCCAAACTTCCTTCCTTTAAGCAGAAAAACATATAATTTGCACGACAACAATGAGGTTTTTTTTTTTAACTACTTTTTAACCAGAAGTGGCAACCGGTGCATAAGCTTCTGTTATTAATGATGTTTAAAAACTGCAGGGAATAAATATATGTGTTTATGAACTGCTTCCAAACTAATGCTTTTATTCTTGGCTCAAATACTAAATAGCAAAACAGTATATTTAACTGGGTCAGTAGGGACCGAGTCCACAACTATGGATGTTTTATCTTTCTCCAGCTGTCAGGATCCCGTGGGGGATGACAGCTATAGAATCCCTGAAGTAGCCATCCCAGAGGACACAAAGGACAGCGACACTCAGGAGAAGGACCTGACTGAGGGCAAGGCAACCCCAGACGTGGAGGAAAGCTTTCTGTAGCCTCCAAACCCAGTGTCTGTCCCAGAAGCAAATGCACTGCAAAATGTAGGCTTGCTTAAAAAAAGGCATGTTCTACTGAAATGGCAGAGGGCTACGTTTCCAAATACTGTCTACGCAGTAAGGATGTCTGCAGTTATCTAGGGCTCTTTATTTAAGGAGGGCTCTTTATTTAAGGAGGGCTCTTTATTTAAGGAGGGCTCTTTATTTAANAGGGCTCTTTATTTAAGGAGGGCTCTTTATTTAAGGAGGGCTCTTTATTTAAGGAGGGCTCTTTATTTAAATCTGTCCTTTAATGCCAGTGTGTAATTAGAGCTGGTCTTTGTATTTTTTTACACGCTGGTTTTTACTGCAACAACTTACAGATGCAAACTATGGTTTCCTTCCAAATTTTTACCTAGATTCATTTGAATGGCTTAAGGTAAATGGTTTCCTGGACGTCAAACAAACCTTTACAATTGTGATGAAGTGCAATTCTGCAGGAAAATATGGACACAATTAAAAAACAGACACATAATATTCCAGATGCAGCTCACGTGTGTATCACAATAAGAATACTGAAATATTAAAACTAGTGCGAGTGATCGCAACCTCATGGACTGTCACAGAGTTTTTCTGACTTTTTTCACTTGCTCTGTCGCACTCCCTAATCAAATAGCGCCATAGGCAATCATCTATTGGGCAGGCCGGGCCTGTTTAGGGGAATCTTCTACAACTACAGATATTCCCCAGTAATAATAATAATAATAATAATAATAATAATGTGCGTACATGCATGCCATTATTATTTTTAAATTCATTGTGCACTACAGGAATACAGACAACAGGTCAAATATTTGGTCAAAGAGAATGTAACCAATCATCAGTTCAGACCCAGAGTACATTGCTGAGAAATTTCACAAAATTCATGTAATATCTTAATATATAGGGTGATATGCTATATAATTATTGATTGTATACTACGTAGCACATGAATGTACAAAACTGTGTGCATATTTTAATGTCTTGTCCTGAAATAACAAAATTTCTAATAAATAAATAGCACAGCCACATATTTTGGTATAATGTTTACAGGGGCTCCCATTGACATCACCCTGTGCTATTTTGATCCATATCATTGTTACTTAATATTCAAGTATATGTTGTGTATATGTATGCATAGGTATATACCTATTTGGATTTAGCTATTTAGCTGAATTATCTGGTCTAACCAACCTTTTAGTAAAATAGCATCATAAGCACCAAATCTTGCAAGGTTTGATATAGTGCCAAATTTGTACATTTTAAATGAATGTGAAGTGCCTTGGAACATTGCTCAATCACTGCCAAATGTTCAAGAATTTAGATTTTTAATGACAATGTAAATAGGACACAAGTATGTTATCTTCTACTTTATGATTTCTGTGTATAAAAGGATTTTTTTTATCATGTAGCATGTAAATCTATTGTGTTTTTCATAGCTGTAGTAGTTAAGCCTTAAAATATGCATTTAAAAGCTTTTGGGAGGTACTTTAACAAGCAGTCAGTCAGTATTAGAATTGTGTTAGGGGAAATGCAATAACTCAATAGCTGTTCCAAATTTGCACTTTACCATCATATGCAGGGGATGAGTGACAGAGATTATTACTCACATTATAGTATAGTTGTATAAAGATAATTCTCTTGTCACTGGTGGTACTCAGTGTCTGTCTCGTTTAATATGCACTTGTGTTTCGTGAAAATCCAACCTTTTCTTAAGGGAACCCTCTCCGGGATTGACAGTATTGTCCGCATCCTCCATTTGACGGGAGGGCCTCCATCCATCAGTGCCGTGACCGTCATGAGATGGCAGCTCTGAAATCCAATTTGACGTAAAAAACATAAGTGTATGTTTGTTCCCTGAAGCATTCCGCCAAACAGGCTGAGACCCATGGAAATATTTTCTGGCACCTTCTGAAATTAATATGCAACAATTTACCCAGCCTCGACAGTTTCAAGTCATCTAAACTAAGCATGCATCATTATTTACCACAAGATTCTATTTTTGGTGATATTTTACGTTATGTTACGTTATACATTGAATTTCTTTGTATTATATTAAAAACATTCAATATTATGTTTTATTTTGACAAGGTAGCTAATGCATTGTGCTCCTTTAAACTGTATTATAACATTTTTGTTATATTCTTAACAACACTGCATCAATGTAGCAATATGATTTCATGAATGTAGTAGATACATTCTGAAAACTTTTACTATTTTTTTTTTCAGTGAGACCAAACGTGCTTACAGGTAAATTAATATGTTCATTTGTTATGTGAGACAAATGCAAACATGGCGTTAGAATACAGAATAAACGTGTAATTGTTCAAGTCTGAAGGCTGCGTGTTTAGATGCCAGCAGGGATGAAGCTTGTAGCCTTGTGAAGATAAAAGTCTGAATTATAAATCTGCCTGTATTAATGGACACAATTCTTTGCTATAGATAGCAAGCAGATTCCTACTAGCTCATTTTAAAGATATCAGTCCAGAATTTCAGGCAGAATTTCCGTTGTCTCTGCTCAAGGTACTAAAAGTACTGTAGGTCAATTATTAGGTATTTAGCAAACCTGAATATGCACAATGCGTGTTCCATACTATAGTACACAGACATTCATATACGCTGTGGTACCAAAGCATTTAAAATGTTTACAGCTGTATTTTGTATGTATTTAGTATTCTATGAATGTTTAAAAATCATTATAAAAAAAGTATATTAAATAATGTTACTATTACGTTCTTGTACTGTGTTCTTTAACCTTGTTCCCTGTTGCATAAACACCTTTCTAATTGCATATTTTAAACATTTTTTAAAATAATAAACATATTTTCAATGGATATGATCAGTAGAACAATAATGCAGCATTTTCAAAATATATAGCATGTAATTAAAAACACTGCCTTGTTCCCAGTACACCATGGAAAGAAAAAGACATAATTTATGCTTTGATACCTATTACTGTTGCTTATGGAGACTTGTGGTGTGTGGCTCAGCAGGCTAAGCCTCTGTGCCTATAATCTGAAGGTCGTCAGTTCCAGCCTGGCCTTCACAGTATAGTCACACGTCTGTGGGCCTTTGAGTAAGGCCCTTAAGCCACCACTGCTCTTTGCAAAAGAGCTGTTGTGCATTGGTGACACCTCTGTTGAATTCACGGTGCTGAGTGGTGAAAAAGGTATAGGCATTTAGGGTAGCGATGTCTAGGATGTTGTACCACAGCAGCATGGGCCACCTCTGTGTTTGTTGCTTGCAGGTGTAGGTGCCAACCATCTGGTCCATGGTGTTAACACCTCCTTTGGTCTTGTTCTAGAATGTGATCACTTCTGGTTTTTACTATTCTGCTGTTGTCATCCATCATTTTATCGTGGTGCATTGTGCTCAGGAGGACAACAGCCATTCCTTTCTTTCTGACATAGCTGGCCATGGTAATGCTGCCATTGAATCCAAACTCTGTGCTGTGAACCTCCCTGGACTTGAAAGCCTTCATCAGAGCAGGGATGTCTGGCTTGTTGTGGTCGTAGAGTCCCCACAATAGTGAGATCCATTTCCAGGAGATGCTGCACAAGAGGCACACTAGTGAAAAAGTTATCTGTGGTGATGTTGCAACCTGTGTTTCTGAATCTACTGCACAACTGCGGCACAGTGTTTTCCCCCAGATTCTTCTGAACTTCTTCCCCTGGTTGTCTCCCTGTGTAAACCATCCCGTCTATTGTGTATGGGATGCGTGCATCAGGTCTTGCTGTGTAAAATAATCTTCCTGATCGGTGACACTTCTGACATAGGGTGTGTGGTCCACAGTAAATATATCGCTGACAGTCACAATTGTTAAGAATCACAGGTTCTCATGAAATTGTATGGGAAATGCATGTGGCTCATTTTTGACCCACTTATGGAAGCTTGGGGTAGTAATACAAATATTACAATTTCTTAAAAAGTATAAGAGATAACTTAAAAATGTTAATGGAATGATATAAAAAAACATGTTATTTAAGGAATACCTGGAATATGAAACAATAACTTTTCATTACAAAGATATTTCAAGAAAACGACCTCACCGAAGCCCCTCCCACCAACTCCATGTGTGCCACAGGTGGCTGACCCTGCCCTGAAATCCCCCAAGCATTCTCTCACCTGCATTTGTTTAGATGCCTCATGAAGATTGAGATGGAGTGTGCAAAAAGAGGATTTGCCCACAGGAGATCAAAAAAACTACCATATTACATCACAGTACCATGTTCTCCTATATGGAACATTGTGGAAAGCTGGAAGTCACTGAACTCTGACTTTGGATAGTTGCAGTGTAACAGACACCTAATAAAAACTATTTTGATTTCTGCACAATAATATAATTGATCAGATTCACAATTTTGGACAAAAAACCCTTAGGCTGAAATGATTGAAAAGGATACTTTTTAAACTAATGGCACATACTTTTACACCAATTAATTCAAACCCAAAATCTTCACAAAGATTCATGAGGTTTTGAGGTCTGCAAACATCAAAGAAGTTTTTCATTGATAACTTAGTCATAACTTGCCACGGTCTCAGACTGAGAAGGATTGTCAGTTGTCAGAGTAATGCACAGTGATGTGTTTGTTTCATCCAAATTGTTTGAAATGACTGATGTTTGAAATGACTGATGTAAAACATCAGCTCTATCTGGTAAAATACACAACAGACAATCTGGTCTTTGGCACACGTTTGGTTCATTGTTTGAAGATAGATGGATCCCTTTTCTAAGACTATACACAGCACAGCACATTGTAATCAGATGCATTTTATTTCTCAAAGCGCATATTTACATAAACTGTTACTGAAATCCACCTGTGGTCCTGATGTCCATTGTACCCTTGAATAGCGTGTCATATAGCTCAGTTGCATGCTTACATGCTTCTTGCTGCATGCTGTCTTCATTGTGCTTTACTATTGGTTTCCCAACATCAAGAAGAAAAGGAGAAGTAACTTTGGCTTGAAGATGAGGACTGAATCATCTCAGACATCCAGTTACCCGCAGTGTACCCGACCCAAGTGGACGTTGATCTTATTTTCTCATTCTGAAAGGCGGCCAGGATGTTTATCCTGCTTGTGGCCTCTTTTCTGACCTTCCTGTGCGACGGTAAGCCTGTTCTCCTTTGTCTCCTGCTAATGAACTATTGCCATCTTCATGCCACCTAAATCCATGAATGCATGTAAATGTAAATACATGTAAAGCTAGAGAAAGTCATGCGATCGGTTGCACATTTCTGCCTTGATATATTACTTTGTCCAGACTTTTAATTTGGCTTCATACAGTACTTCTACGCGCTCTCCACTACAGAATTAATGCTTCGTAAAAATTATAATTAATATTTAACGTTAATATGAGCAAATGGCATACATTTGGGGTACTTTCGAGTTATATGTTTTAGATATTTTGGTAAGCGACATTTGACATCTTGGACTTCAAAGTCGTTAAACAGGAAGTCCGTTATGAAATTGTTCTGTTTCAAATGGGACATATTTGCGGTCCTGAACTCTTTGACTTCATAAATCAACCCTCTAGAGCAATGTCTTCCAATCTGGTTGTCGGGGCAAAAATGTTCTGTTGTTCGCACAACAACACTAACCACTCTAGTAGCCTCCATGACTACTTTATTGTATTTTCAATATTATTAACAAATTTTTTTAATCGTATGGTCAGCGTTCTGCAGCCATAACAATGGCTTCTATCTAAGGAAACTTTGTTTTTGCATTACTTGCGCCTATTTTCACTTGACTCAAACCACCATGGAGATATTGACAGGATAAAATAGCACTGTCTCAGTTAGCTATTTCTTCCTGTCACTATGAAATTTGGGCTGCATGTATTTGTGCTGCTGGAAGCAGTATTAACAGAGGTACTAAATGTTTGATTAATCCGTAACACTGGCAAATCTATAAGATGTACATTAGAATATTTACAAGTGACAAAATGTAAATCAGTAATGATGTGTGAAGTAGAGCTATGCAGTGTGACTTTGTTTAAATCTTTTTGTTCCTCTTTGTAAGTTAATGAATATTACACCTTACAAAAGGCTTACTACAAAATAATGATAAAGGCACCAAACAGTTCTATGCTAGAAGGAAATAATGCATCCTGTGGTTAATCCAAATTATATGGTGCAAAATTCCGATTTTGCTGAGCATTCCATGTTTCAGTTCCTTTTTCAAGTAAAAAAAAAATATGTATATTCAGGTTTCGCATTGAAATAACCAGATACTTCTTTCCCACTGAGAATACTGCTCTTGGACAACTTTCCTGTGAATATAATTATGTCTTCTTATATTAGCCAGACATTGATTTAGAATGAAAAAATATTTGGTAACACTTTACATTAAGTGAACCTACATAATGCATTCATAATGCATTCATAATGCATTCATAGAACATTCATAAGCAGCATGCAAGTATACCTTAACATCCTAACATCCCTTAACAGGTTTAATATACAATAATATCAAATATTACATGATTATACAATTATAATGTTTGTTATTATTATATAATGTTTGTTATTAATGTATATTACAGCTGTTAAGAGATGTTAGGATGTTTTATGAATACTTAATGAATACATTATGAAGGTGCACTGAACATCTTATGAATGCAATATAAAAGCATTATGAAGGTGCAGTTAATGTAAAGTGTCACCAAATATTCAAATAATGCAAACTATTGTTCTCATAATTTTATAAGTTTATGGTTAGAAAACCTATGTTTTATTATTAAAGTCTAGGTATTTTTTCTATGTACTAATTTTCTTTTTGTTAACAAACATACACTGTATGGACAAATGTATTGGGACACACTTCGTAACCACTGAATTCAGGTGTTTCATTCAGACCCATTGCTACAGGTGTAAAATCAAGCACCTAACCAAGCAGTCAGGTTTATCAACATTTATGAAAGCTCCGTGAATTCAAGTGTGTTACTGTACTCTCATAGGATGCCACCTTTGTAATTAGCCAGTTCGTGAAATTTCTTCCCTGCTAGTATTCCACAGTCAACTGTACGTGGTATTACTGCAAAGTGGAAGCATTTAGGAACAACAGAAATTCAGCTACAAAATGGCCGACCATGTAATGTAACAGGGAGGGATCAACAAGAGCTGAGGTAGATACAGCATAAACGTCGCCAGCGCTCTGTTGACTCATTAACTGCATGGTTCCAAACTTCCTCTGGCATTAACTCCAGCACAAACACTGCGCTGGGAGCTTCATGGAATGGGCTTCCATGGCCGAGCAGCTGCATGCAGATCACCAAGTACGACGCTATGTGTTGGATGGAGTGGTATAAAGCTCACCTCCAGTGGAATCTAGAGCAGTGGAAATGTGTTCTGCAGAGTGATGAATCACATTTCTCTGTCTGGCAGTCTGATGGACGAATCTGCGTTTGGCAGATGCTAGGAAAACGTTACCAGCCTGACTGCATTGAGCCAACTGTAAAGTTTGGTGGAGGAGGGATAATGGTATGGGGTTGTTTTTCAAGGGTTGGGCTAGGCCCCTTAGATCCAGTGAAGAGAACTCTGAAAGTGTCAGCATACCAAGACATTTCTATGAATTCTATGCTTCAACTTTGTTGGAACAGTTTGGGGAAGGCCCTTTTCCGTTCCAGCATGACTGTGTCCCAGTGCACAAAGCAAGGTCCATAAAAACATGGTTGGGTGAGTTTGGTGTAGAAGAACTTGACTGGCCTTCACAGAGCCCTGACCTGAACCCCATCAAACACGTTTGGGATGAACTAAAATAAAGATAGGGAGCCAGGCCTTCATGTGCAACATCAATGCTAAACCTCACAAATGCTCTTCTGTTTCAATGGGCAAAAATTCCCACAGACACACTGCAAAACCTTCCTAGAGGAGTCGCAGCTGTTACACTTGCAAAAGGGGGACCAACTCTATGTTGATATCTATGGATTCAGAATGAGATGTCATAAAAGTTCCTGTTGGTGTAATGACCAGGTGTCCCAATACTTTTGTCCATATAGTGTACATATATTCAGAAAGTGATTGTATATCCATCACATGTATCTAAGGTAGGGTCACAGTGAGCCAGGAGATTATTCCAGTAAGCAGAGGGCATGATGAACAGGACACACTGGATTATAGTCTATCAAATGAAACACATAATTTACACACACCAATCCATCTAGACCACATATATTAGATATTTGAAAAGCAGTCAGAGTTTCTGAAAGAACTGAGGTTCATGTCAGAATTGAAGCACCACCCCGCAAGTGCTTTGAAAACATTTATTCATCTCATATTTCATCTCAAGTTATCCCAAATAATAATCATATAGTTTTATATAGGACAATTATACAATCACATACCTTATTAGCGAGCACAGAATTCATAACTGTTGAGCCACGTTTCCAGTAGTTAGTGCCTGATATGAAAAGTGTTGTTTGGGGTTCAGTGGTTTCTTTACCTTCTGGAATTTTATCACTTTGACTTTCGAGAATTACTAAAAAACATGGATACATCAGGTAAAAAATGTAAGCATAACTCTGAGGAACTTAACTAAGGCAGCAGCATCTCCAAAGTTCTGATTGTTTTTGTTTCGATGACACAGAAGTCGTGAACTTTATTTACGCACAAGATATTACAACATATTATGTTACTGACCTTTGTAAAAAAATCTGTTATACATGGAAAAATCAAACGAAGCTGTTTTACTCTGACATTAGTGCAATCATTCCTGTCCCAATCCTCAGGCAACCCAGCTAAGCCACATTCGATTTCTAATGCACCACATGATGTTGTTTGTCAACTAATTATGAAGCCCTTGATGACCTTCCTGCATGGGGGGATGGATCGAAAACCATTTTATTAATATGTCCATCCAGTACCGGGATACTGGACTCTAAATGTACATACCTTACCTTATCGTATTAAGATAACTGACATTGTGCAAATTGAGTCCCAGATCCAAGACTCCTTTAGCAATTGGTCACAGAGAAAGGAGAAATGAGAAGAGTGCCAAACTCCACGTTCTATAGATAACTGTGCGATGTGTTTCCTGAATTTGATTTTGCTGCCTTTTAGTCGGAGTCTGTCCTGCCACAGAAGCTGGTTCCGGTACTTTCATTTCCTCCTTTCCCTCCATGCATAATACACACCATCCCTAAATCATGTCATGTAAAAACCCTAACAAACTGAACTATGTGATCATGATATACAGTGCCACCTCCAAAGCCCAAGGCATGAACCTCACCATCACTGGGAGTGTACAACATGCAAATTTTAGGTGCTGTTCACACATTTAGAACATTTATTTATTGCAAAGTAAATGTACAATGGAGATATCCATTAATTTTTGTTGTTGTTGTTGTTGTTGTTACGACAATGCCTTTTTCATTGTGTATCTTTTTTTCTTTTATATGTTTTAATTATACTTATATTTGGAGAGGTTGAGCTTATAAACTCTATATACTGGGTGACATTAAATCAATTCCCTTCTCTGACCAGCAGCACAGCAACCCCCCACGATCAAACTGAATTCTGTGATTGTGGCTCAAGACTATGTGGTTGTGAGAGTCAACAAGCCCTTAACCCTTACCTGTGTGGGAAGGAATGTGACATGGATGCCCAGGCTGTCCAAGCACCGAAGACACATCTCGGATATCAATGGTGCACGCAGCATCTTCAAGGTGGACAATCCTACTGTGGACTACACAGGCACATACAGGTGTTACAATCAGAACCAGCCGGACTTGGGCTCTTCGGTTCATGTCTACGTCAAAGGTAAGCATCGAAACCAAACCAATTATATATAAAATATAAAACTTCTTCTGTTATCACTAGCTAATATGAATAGTTTGCTAGTTCAACCTCGAGTGCGGCCTGTTAGGCTGTCCTTCGTTTTCAGTATGTGTTTTCCTTTGACAGACCCCCAAAACCTTTTCACGTCGGGATACATGTACAGACCAGTAAAGAAAGAAGGCGATGACCTCCTGTTACCTTGTCTTCTGACGGACCCTGATGCCACTGACTTCTCCCTTCGTATGGACAATGGCACCTCTGTGCCCCAGGCCATGAACTACACCACTGACCCCAGGAAGGGTATCTTCATCTGGAACCTTCAGCCTAGCTTCATTGCGGACTATGTCTGCTCTGCCAGGATCAACGGGGTGGAGAAAATCTCCAGACCTTTCTCTATCAACGTCATTCAGAGTGAGCCAATGAATTATATTACTCCACTTGATGCGAAGACAAAATGGCTTATTGTAGTTTACTTTGGTTCTGGAGCCTTGCAGTAAGAAGTTTGAGTTTTCATGTTTTTTATTCAGGGCTACGTTTCCCGCCATATGTATTCCTGGACGAGGTCGAGTACGTTCGCATTGTGGGAGAGAGTCTTCGCATCTCCTGCAAAACTCACAACCCCAATTTCAATTACAATGTCACGTGGAAACACTCCTCCCGCACTGTAAGTGTCAGACTTCCCATGAACTTTCCACAGTCTGTCAGATGCAGAGACGTTCACCCCCCACACAAGAATTTTGGTCTTGTCTGAATTCAAAAGCAGCCACCACAGACATTGGTGCTCCATTAATGACTTGTTACTTCCTGCCTGTGTTCTGATTGTTACTCTCACTAAGCTAATATCTCCTCCCTAGAAACTGAACGTGGAAGAAATTGTGAATGCAGTGGATACTGAGGGCAACCGTCTTGACATTGAGAGCATATTAACAATCCCTGCAGTAAACCTGTCCGATACTGGAAACATTACCTGCACTGGCAGTAATGAAGCAGGTGTTAACAGGACGACCACCTACTTGGAGGTTGTGGGTAAGTTCCAAAGAGTACACTGACATTTTTAACAGTGCCAGGTGAGTAAGTCCTATAGTAAGTATGAATTCATGGTACATCTATTTTACTCTTTAGAGAAGCCGTATATCAGGCTTTCACTAGAGCTTTCACCAAAAGTTACTCGAGAGGATATGTCTGTGAAGGTCAATGAGGGGGATGATCTGGAGCTTGGCGTCCATATTGAAGCATACCCTGAGATCAAGGATCAAGGGTGGATGACTTCTGCATCTCAGAATGACTTCTCAGAGTCAAGCAGCTTCAATCGCTACAACAACAGGTCAGCTACTGTATAGTTCCTCACTTAAATTCACACACACGGGCATTTTGTCATATTCACTATAACGCATGTACAAAACTATTTCTTTTGGTAGTTCAAGATCTTTTTTATTCAGTTTATTTCTTTGATAAATTTCTCCAATCCACAACCTGCATGACAAAAGCTAAACTAAACCCTTATCATTTGGGCAAAGAGCAGTTTCCTGTTGTGCTGAATCAGCTGGCCTGATTTGTGGCAGGTTTGCGGCAAAGCTTGTGCTGAAAAGGATGACCTCCCTGGAACAGGGCTGGTATACCTTCTACGCCAGGAGTGAAAGGATCAACAATTCCATCAGCTTCAGAGTGCAGACCTACCGTAAGCAAGCCACCACATTCCCCTAGTCAGGAAATGAGTTCACACACACTTTTATGATGAAAGTTCAACTAGTTCCTATTTTGGTGACACTTTTAAATGATCTTATTATAAAAGAGAAGACTTTGTCCTCTGCCACACAATTCTGGTTTCGAAGCTACATCATATTGTAATCGTATTGTAAGACTTATTGGATCAAGAACAGAGAACTCGGTTAGATCAAACCATCCCTCCATGTTGGAAGACTAAAGGCAATTCTCATTCTCCATTCATCACCTTGGCATGTCCTTCAGTGTTCTCTCTCTCTAATATTCTAGAGAAACCTTCTGCCACAGTGAGGTGGGAAAATGGCACCACACTGACCTGCAATGCCTTTGGGTTCCCAGCTCCCAGCATCCACTGGTACCAGTGCTCTGGAATTAGAACCACGTATGTGTTGAGGTTCAGGGATGGGAGGGGATGTTTCCCTTGAGCTTGTATGATGTTAATTATAGCACAATATCAAAATATATTAGTGGTTTTATAGATATATTGTTTTCTGCTCACTAAATCTCTACCCCCTATTCTAGTGGTTGGTTTTGAACAAAATGTTATATATTTGGTGGTGATTCCAATGTTTTTGGCTGGGCAGGTGCAGAGAGAATACCACAGATGCTCTAAAGGTGCTTCCAGCGCAGACAGTGGAGGTCCTGCATGAGGCGTCCAGCCAAGAGGAGGTGGAGAGCACGTTGCCCGTGGGACCAATCAGCCACAGGACAACATTTGAGTGTGTGGCCTCCAGCCTAGTGGGGGAGGCAAGTGACGCATTCAGCATGGAGGTCTCTCAAAGTACGTCTCCCCCAACCGGCTGTCCTTTTTCCACCCAGTAATAAAAGATGGTAGCTTGCTGCCCACAATTTGTAGCATTCTAATTGTCCAGTAATAATGACTGGTTGCTTAGTAACCGGGTACCTACAGTATGTGTCACTATGAAATAAATTAATACTCTATGTGTTACTCCATAGACAAGCTGTTCATGCCAACCCTGGTTGGAGCTTCTGCCCTGGCAGCATTTTTCCTGTTGCTCCTGATGATACTGCTCTACAAGTACAAGCAGGTAGGAAAAACAGATGCAAAATGTCCTCTTGGTAAACAGTGAAGCAGACAGACTTGTAATATAAAATATTCATATTAAATTATTGAAGTACTTTTTTTTCCCATTTTCATTGAGTGACCAGTTGTTGAACACACACCATCTGGTCAGATTCAGCACTTCTTCTTTCATCGTTGTTAGAGATTAATCGTAGGATGGTGCTGTTGTCTGCAAATTGGATAATGATCTTTGTGTTATGGGTGGGCATGCGGTCATAAATGAAGAGCAAACTGAGTATTGGGCTCAGCACACAGCCTTGCAGGACACCGATATTGAGGGTCAAAGTGAACTACATGCTGCAGTCAGTTTGGGAGAAGGTCCCTAATCCAGTTATAGATTGGTGTAGGCCCAGGCTGAGCAATCTGGAGACCAGTTTGGATAGCTACAGACATGACAGCAATGTTGACCAAGCTCCAGAGGAAGTATCCATATTTGAAATCATTTTGCAATTATTGAGTTAAGGGTAACTGAGCTTTAGTCATTCAGGGAACAGACTGCAGTTTTCTTGGGTATCAGTACAGTGATTGTTGATTTAAGACAGGTTTTATCTGCTCACAGTGTTAGTGAGAGGCTGAACATGTGACACCCTTGGCCTTGAGAACAAGTCCAGAATCTCCATTCAGCTCAACTGTTTTGTTGGCGTTGACCCTGTGCAGGGTCTGCCTTTCTTGGTTGGTGTGGAGCACAGGTGCCTGCTAAGTCTCAGAAGGTGTGGTCCTGGGGCCAGGCTTCCAGTTTTCTCTATCAACACGAACAAAGAAGTTCAGCTTGTCCAGCAGTGACACGTCCCTTGGCGATGGGTGTGGAGAGCTGGCGTCACTGTAGGCTTTAGTGTTGTCTGATCTGAAGACTGCATGTCACATTTTGAGTTGTCTCAGAAATCACTGATGAACTATGGTTTCTGTTTTGGAATGGCTCTCATCCACCTCCCTGAAATCAAGCATAATGTTGGATGTCTAGGGTCCCTCTTACTAACCTGGTGATCAAAAAGTGAGGCTCTTCAAATCGTTTGGCCAAAAGGGGCACGTGCTCTGGCACTTCCAGCCCCCCCGTAATGATGACCATTATAAATTCTCTCTCAAGAAAAAGGACGTCGTATATTTTAACATTAGTAACTCTTGGTCCGGGGAACAGTGTAGCCCAATAGTGACCATATCTGTACACTAACAAAACAAGCTGTGTTTGGTAGGACAGCATACAGCCATCTTGGAGCAAGTAAACTGACTGAATATATATTTTGATCTGCAGAAACCCAGGTATGAAATCCGCTGGAAGATCATTGAAGCCAGCAATGGGAACAACTACACCTTTATTGACCCTATGCATCTGCCGTATAATGAGAAATGGGAGTTTCCCAGGACCCAGCTGAAGCTAGGTACTCCCTCCTTACTCCACATACTTGTATATATGATTTAAAATGGCATATGATGATACATCCAAAAGAAATCTTCATGGTCATATTAAAAAATGCACCCTGTTATTTGCATCTTCCAGGGAAGGTTCTGGGTGCTGGGGCTTTTGGGAAGGTTGTGGAGGCCACTGCATTCGGCCTGGGAAAGGACGACAACGTCACACGTGTTGCTGTGAAGATGCTCAAACGTGAGTTGGGGTGACAGACAGCTCCCTTGTCCTTGAGTGACCTTGGAGCTGTGGACCCCAGACACCTCACACATAGGGATATTTCTCTGTTGATCAGAAGCATCTTGTAGCATGGTATTGGGTACCATCATGACTGAATTCCCTTGCAGCCAGTGCACACTCTGATGAGAAAGAAGCCCTGATATCTGAACTGAAGATCCTGAGCCATCTGGGGGAGCACAAGAACATTGTGAACTTACTGGGCGCCTGCACTCATGGAGGTTGGTCCAATGGCCAGAGGGAACACCGGGAAAAACAACAAAGTATTCCTGCACTCCTGGAACTGGGAGCTAAGCAGATGAATGTGATGAGTGCAGCTATCTGTGTGGTCATGGTGCTGTGGACTCAAGTCCTGTTGTCCTTGTGTCCCATCCCAGGTCCTGTCCTGGTGATTACTGAGTACTGCAGGCATGGTGACCTCCTTAATTTCCTGAGGAACAAGGCCGACACTTTCCTCAGCTTTGTAATGAACATGCCAGACTGCCAGGAGGAGACCACCAACTACAAGAATGTGTGTTTAGATAAGAAGTACATAAGAAGGTAAAAGTCCATGACAAAGCCCTATGCTGCTATGCACTCATGCAATTAATTTAATTAATCAAATTAATTGGACTTTACCAGTTAAAATCTGAGTATATATATATATATATATATATATATATACACTCACCTAAAGGATTATTAGGAACACCTGTTCAATTTCTCATTAATGCAATTATCTAATCAACCAATCACATGGCAGTTGCTTCAATGCATTTAGGGGTGTGGTCCTGGTCAAGACAATCTCCTGAGCTCCAAACTGAATGTCAGAATGGGAAAGAAAGGTGATTTAAGCAATTTTGAGCGTGGCATGGTTGTTGGTGCCAGACGGGCCGGTCTGAGTATTTCACAATCTGCTCAGTTACTGGGATTTTCACGCACAACCATTTCTATGGTTTACAAAGAATGGTGTGCAAAGGGAAAAACATCCAGTATGCAGCAGTCCTGTGGGCGAAAATGCCTTGTTGATGCTAGAGGTCAGAGGAGAATGGGACGACTGATTCAAGCTGATAGAAGAGCAACTTTGACTGAAATAACCACTCGTTACAACCGAGGTATGCAGCAAAGCATTTGTGAAGCCACAACACGCACAACCTTGAGGCGGATGGGCTACAACAGCAGAAGACCCCACCGGGTACCACTCATCTCCACTACAAATAGGAAAAAGAGGCTACAATTTGCACGAGCTCACCAAAATTGGACAGTTGAAGATTGGAAAAATGTTGCCTGGTCTGATGAGTCTCGATTTCTATTGAGACATTCAAATGGTAGAGTCAGAATTTGGCGTAAACAGAATGAGAACATGGATCCATCATGCCTTGTTACCACTGTGCAGGCTGGTGGTGGTGGTGTAATGGTGTGGGGGATGTTTTCTTGGCACACTTTAGGCCCCTTAGTGCCAATTGGGCATCGTTTAAATGCCACGGCCTGCCTGAGCATTGTTTCTGACCATGTCCATCCCTTTATGACCACCATGTACCCATCCTCTGATGGCTACTTACAGCAGGATAATGCACCATGTCACAAAGCTCGAATCATTTCAAATTGGTTTCTTGAACATGACAATGAGTTCACTGTACTAAAATGGCCCCCACAGTCACCAGATCTCAACCCAATAGAGCATCTTTGGGATGTGGTGGAACGGGAGCTTCGTGCCCTGGATGTGCATCCCACAAATCTCCATCAACTGCAAGATGCTGTCTTATCAATATGGGCCAACATTTCTAAAGAATGCTTTCAGCACCTTGTTGAATCAATGCCACGTAGAATTAAGGCAGTTCTGAAGGCGAAAGGGGGTCAAACACCATATTAGTATGGTGTTCCTAATAATCCTTTAGGTGAGTGTATATGCACGTTTTCCACAGAGTTTTGCAACTTTCTCCCATGTTAGCACTTTTTGATTAGAATTCATTTTCTTTGGCATGCAAATTTCCTTGGTTTTCTTTACTTACTTGACTGCTAATCCCATGTGGTGTCTACAGCGACAGTGGGATCTCGAGTTCATGTTCTGACAACTACCAAGAGATGAAGCCAGTCCCTCTACTTGTGCCAGCCTCGGCAAATGGTAAGCAGGATATCATTCTTGTCAAATTTTTACAGCGCGCTAGATCAGCAGTTTAACTTTGTAGCATGGATATTCCTGATCTCTAGATGGAACGACAACCAACATGAATTTAGGAAAAAAATTAGATACTCAAGTAACAAAATCAGTATGTATTTTTATCTCTCTCTGTGTATTGTGAGATTCTGGAGTTTCACAAAGTGTTTTTTCTTTCATTTCCACACCACAACATTTGCAACACAGCTCCCCCCCTCCCCCATCTGCATGCTTTTGGCTGCTCCATAACCACTCCACAGCAGAACCCTTGCTTTAGAGGCTAGCTATAGTAGTTTTGTTTTCATTTGCACTTGTGCTATTATTTAGAGAGGATATCCATCTCAGTGTCAGCCAATGATATAACGGTCATGAAATCAGCAGGAAATCTTATTTGTCAATGCATATTATGAGCAGACATTTTATTGGCTGTAGTACCTGGATAAATTTTTTCTGCTGGGCACGCAGATCTGAGCATGCTGTTCCCTGTTCCTTAGGTTTCATTTATTTCTGTGGATCAAGAGGTTTCATGTGGAGGGCAATGTAGACATCACACCTTTGTTGTAAATGCTTTTATTATTATTATTATTATTATTATTATTATTGTTGTTGTTGTTGTTGTTGTTGTCGTCAGGTAAGAACAACATGGGATAGATAGGAAGACACGGCTAATGCTACCCGGGTATAGATTAACTGGGAGACTTTACCGCATTCCCGCATCATAACGTTATAATACAGGGTTGGCAACTTTAGTCACCTGGTTGGAGTGACAATTTCAATCCCAGACTAATCTGCACACACGTTTACATGGATGTAACAGTTTCATTACCTTGCTTTGCAAAGGGGTATGTGTGTGTAAATGGTGTATTTGAAAGAATGGAGAGACATGTGTCATCACCGCCACTTAACTAAATGCCTGTTCTGAAAAATACCTAAATAAGGTCATTCTGTTACAGCTTTATAAAAACATCTGCTAAATGACAGCGTGATATAGTGTAATATAGCCTATTAGTGCTGTTAACCAGCTGAATGCTATAATGCTTGCAGTTGGGCACAAAGGTTTTACATTTGACTGATTGTTCGGATAGATGTTGTTTTTTTTCTTTCTTTCTTTGCTGTGGTGGCAAAGGTGGGTCATGATGGAGAAATGTTCCCAGCAGAAACACCGGTTCGTTTGGAGGTCTGGCAGTAGGGAGGGCAGCTGGTTACATGGGAGACTTATGTCACTTTTCTGTTTTTTAATTAGTGCCCCTGTGTGACAATACTGTGGAGGACAACTGGCCACTGGACATTGACGACTTGCTGAGATTCTCCTACCAGGTGGCACAAGGACTGGAATTCCTCACTGCCAAAAATGTGAGCAGGCAGCAGCAGAACCCAACTGCTCACTTGTGGCTGGATGTTTTTATGTCTCTATGCATCAGATCATGGTGCTGATGAACTAGAAAAAGCTGTAACCATCAATTGTGGGGGCACTTTGAGGGACATCAAGGCTTCCATCAACTGATTGTGATGATCTGTACAGTGCATCCACAGAGATGTAGCTGCCAGGAATGTGCTTCTGGCAAACAGTCGCGTAGCAAAGATCTGTGACTTCGGCCTGGCGCGAGACATCATGAACGACTCCAACTACGTGGTAAAAGGAAACGTAAGTTGCATGTTTTGTTCACATACTTATTCTTTACATTTTTTTCCCACTGCTTTTGCTGTGACACCATGGGCCACCAGTGCTCCTCTTGTGGTTCTTTATAGGTTTCTGATAAAATATAAATCAGAGGAGCAAAGAAATGTGGTTTCCTTTGTGAGACTGCAGACTGCAACAAAAGTCTTTGCACACCCAACTTTACCCAACTTCCCTTTTAAGTTATGACAGCAATAAAAACCTCATTTGACAATCCTCAGTGTTCTTTACATGCATATTCCGGCATAAAAGTTATAATAGCTGAAACTAAGACATGCTGCTTTGTGTGTGTTGGGCGTTCTGCTGGTAGGCTCGCCTTCCTGTTAAGTGGATGGCACCCGAGAGCATCTTCGACTGCGTCTACACTGTGCAGAGCGATGTCTGGTCTTATGGGATCTTACTGTGGGAGATCTTCTCGCTGGGTGAGATGGGAAATTCACAAACATAAACACAAGCTGCTTCTAACACCTGTATAAAATCTGTCTTTGTGATTCTGAATTCACTGGGCTTTTACATGACATCATTCTGTCAGGTAAGGGCCCATACCCCAGCGTCCTTGTGGATGGCAAATTCTACAAGATGATCAAATGTGGTTACCAGATGTCTAGGCCAGACTACGCCCCACCGGAGATGTAAGTTCATCTTGTTTTGTTGGTCTTAGGCCAACATTTTTTCAGAAGCTCCCTATTTGGGTGTACTTCTATTTAATATAGTTGAAAACATAGCACATTTTTAGGAACATTCTCTTTAACAACCGAATAAGAACAGAATAACTGGATTTGCCCATTACTTTCCTTTTCTGAAACCAAATAAGAGAAAGACTGGGATCTCATCTCCCAGAGCATTTCATACTTTAAGAAAGTTTCTCTGTTTTGTCAGAGAGTGACAGCCTTTGGTACCATATACTGGTCACATTTACACTGTTTTAGTCTGTTTTATGTGAGCTAGAATAAAATTAAAAATTTCATGGCAATAAGTCAGTTATAAAATGTATTATTATTATTATTATTATTATTATCATCAACATCATCAAAATAATCTATCAGGACAGAGAGGAGCATGGGTAATTTCAGTTTGCTAATTAACCGCTACAGGAACAATTAGCAGAAGGGTACGCCAACCCAATCTATAAAACGCCTGAACCTGGAAGTTCTCCTGTTAGGTACACAATCATGAAAATGTGTTGGGACCTGGAGCCTACCAAGCGACCGACTTTCAGCAAGATCAGCCAGCTGATCGAAAGGCTTCTCGGAGAGCAGCCCGACCAGGTGAGTCGTAGTTCCCATAGGATGAGAAGAATCTAGCATAGAGAAAGATCAAACACATTTTCCAATATGCAAGAGGCAGCATTTAGACTGAACATCTCAAAACAAAGCCTACTTTTTAAACTGAAGTCTGTTATGACTTAATTTGATTCAGATCCCTAAGTACACTAATGTTATTTCTGTTTGCCCGATTTATACTAACGCAGGGCTCAGTGTTTAAGCCTGCACTTCAGACCAGCCGTCAGATATTGTATGGATATTTCTGCCATTTTCCATGCCTTCTCCACAGCAGATTTACCAAAATGTTCAACAGGATGCTCCAGATGAAGAACCCAGTGAAACACAAGAGGCTCCAAAGCACTGCGAAGGCTCCTGTGATCAGGAGGAAGAGGAGCAACCACTGATGAAGACCAACAATTATAAGTTCTGCTGAGGCGCCCATCTCCGGCCCGAGGTGTCCAGGCTCTGTCTCATATTAACCATCAACAGCCAACCTTTTGCAAACTACTATGCTACAACGTAAACCAGCATAAACCTAGTTATATTGCAGTTAGTCATTCAACCCACAGAAGGGTTATTTAGGGTGCTGAATCAGGCAGACAGCAGAGGAACGACAGTGACCATGACGATGAACCATGAAATGATGCAGAGTTTCCAGTAAGACAGTCTGGACATCTATTCCTTGTCTTTTTTTGTTCAATGGATACACATATTTCAAAGAAAATAATCCTGAATTTCTTTAGTACGGTTACAATATTACTGGCTTACACGAGTGCCTATGAATAACATTTTGTTTTTATCTACCAAACTCAGGGAAGAAAGATTGCTAGTCTCTCTGAAACCATAAGCGTCAGCATCTTTCATGGAAAGTTCCTCACTGTGCAGTTCACATGCACGCATTCTGTGTGCAGACAAAACATTCACGTAGTGTTTACATTCCAGAGAGTAAGTATGTCTGTTTATTAGCGTACAACCTGGAAGGATATTCATGATTGGATATTATTGGTTCTATTCTAGAGATCAATTTAAAACTTTTCTTCAGCAGGTTAATTAGATTTAATGTCTAATGATCTAATGTTCACAGATTTATTTACAATTATTCATCATTATTTTGGCTCGGTAACAGACCAAAATATGCAGCGATCACTGTCTTCAGTTTTCATTCATTTAATTATGTAGCACTCAGCTTATACTGCCAAAAACATCCACGTAGTTACTTGATTTTTTATATATATATCCAACTGATTTATTTAAAGCCAGAAGGACTGAAGATAAGAGTGGTTGACACCTTATTTGTGGATCAATGTTCTCACAAATGTGCTATTTTGGACATCAGTTTATTATTAAAACCTTGGTAAATGGTAAATGGACTGCATTTATATAGCGCTTTTTACTACTCGTACGAGTACCAAAGCGCTTTACAGTTATGCCTCACATTCACCCATCCACACACACATTCACACACCGGTGGCGGAGGCTGCCATGCAAGGCACCAACCAGCTCACCGGGAGCTTGATAAAGCTTAATGTTTAGCTCATACTATTAGCTTGCTATGCTAGAGAAGACATGTTTGTATGTATGGTTACAGATTTACCAAGCCTACAGTATGCTAAGCCATGACGTATATAGAATTGATCTGATTTGGCTTTTAAATGTTTTTTTACTGTTTGCATTTCATGTTGTAATTTGACTTACATATACACTGGAAAATTTACATATCAGAACATTTGTACTAACATTTTTGTTAAAATAAAAAAATTAAGAAATGAAATGTATTTTGCTTGTTACCATACATGCTGTTGAATAAAATGAACGATTGTAATGTATGTCATACTATGTTATTTAAATTGTTTTTTATACTCTTAAGAGAAACAACAACAATATTGATACAAATACCCCATCATCTATGATTTAACAATAACGATTGCTTTAAATACATTACATTAGCAATATGAGTTATTATGTCAATATGTCTCCACCCTTACTCTCCACCGCCATTTACTTAGCTCACCATCAGCAAGGCGGAAGCAGAGAGGGGTCAGTGCATTTTGAGCTACGAATACAAGAAAATAGGACCCAGAAAGATCAGGCCCTTGGCAATGGAGATTAGTTCTGGAGCTGGAAAGGTGTTAGCTAAATAGAGTCATGCACAGTGTGGACTTTGGAACCAAATTTCAGGTAGGTAGAACTACTTCTACTTACAAATTCCCTGGCGAAAGACCTGGGCTACTGTAGGTGTAGTTACACTCAAAACTCCCAGGATGAGAGCTGTCCTGATGAAAAGAGGGTCATTTCTATGAGGAGACCCATGCGGTAAACAGCTGTTCAGAGTAGCTCAGGGTACCCAGTTTCTGCGCCGCTCACCATAAGAAGGACACTTATGGTGAGCGGCAGCTTTATTTAAGGCTGTTAGCACATTATGGACAGAGAAGTGTGTATCGGGCTATGAGGAACTTCTGTATAGGACCTTCCTCTGAGACCCAGTTCTGAAGTTGCACAATGTTCAGACCCCTTTTCACCAAAACTGCTCCAAACATTTCACATTTCTTTTCGAGTTCTCTTTTTTGGGGGTTGAATACCAAGAATATACTGCAGGAACACACATAGGAATAGAAAATGAAAACAGTGACACAGCAGCTTGCTCATTGTTACGGAGCCTCTAAATATGGAGGCTTTAAAGAGGCAGGTGATAAAAGAAATTAAAAAAAATACCGTATCTGGTGCATATCAGATACTAACTGGTGCGCACCAGATACGGTAAAAAATATATAAATCACATACTGTATGTCCCTTTTGGGGCTCCGTACATTGCTACCTGTAACCATAATGTTTATTAAACCATTTTATTACATTATTCTTTATACTTCAGTTGTGTATTAATTGGTGTAAAGCTGCTTAAAATCATGTTCTGTCACTGACTAATGCCAGAAAGATTTATTTGAGTCAGCATACACATGTTCAGGAACGAGGGGACCTAGAATATTATGCTGCTATGTGTAGTTCACTGTGTGTGACACAAGAGGGCAGAGCAGAACAATTTTAAGCTTCACCTGTTTCAGTTCCCTTTTTTTGGTCTCTTTCATTTATAGATCTCAAGGGGTCAATTTTAATTGGTTTCCAGTACTTATTTGTGATAAATTGTTGCATTTCGTGTCCTTATTTTACTTTCTTGGGGTGCAGACAGGATTGGTGGCTTCATCTCCCAACATGAAACCTGGAGCAGGTGTAGAAAATAAAAATCTCCCCAAATTTAAATTTCACATGAAGCGTGACAAACATAATAACTGCATATCCAGTACAGCAGTGCTTCCCAATCCGCTCCTCGGGGACCCCCAGACAGACCACCAGACAGACCCCCACACAGACCACCAGACAGACCCCCACACAGACCACCAGACGGACCCCATTTTTGCTCCCTCTCAGCTTCCACTTTGCAAAAACATGGACGGTTTGTAAGGGAAAAAAAATGTGGAGCGTCCAGGGTTCTTCGAGGACCGGAGTACGAAACACTGCAGCAGAGGGCCATGGTGAGCCGGGCCCTGAAAGCAGAGGGCCATGGTGAGCCGGGCCCTGAAAGCAGAGGGCCATGGTGAGCTGGGCCCTGAATGCAGAGGGCCATGGTGAGCCGGGCCCTGAAAGCAGAGGGCTTTCGGGGCCCCCTCAAGGGGGGCCGATTATACGCAAACCAAGGGCAATTGAGGAGCACATTTCCAAAATGTGCCACATTTTCTTTGATTGTTTTTGAAATGAGATCACCAATGACCTTTAGCCATGGTTCCTCATCATATGTCACAATATTTGGAATTAAAACTGTAATCAGGTGAAGTATGTAATCCTTTTAACAACTTGTCTTAAATTTTCATCAAATCAAGTCCAAAGAAATTTTCTGGAAAACATGTCATGTCGACTTAGTTTTGAAAACTTGCTCTTCAGTTTAGAGAAACAAATTCACTTAAGTGTTCCTCAGAGGAAACAGAGGGAGAACATGCAAACTCACACAGAGATATGATCCAGAATCTAAGGCACCATCCTGAAAGTGTATATTATCATGTTGAAAAATTCACTAATAATGGCCTAATTTGTCTAAAGTCTATGATTTGATTCACTCCCAGTGGTTGACATACAGAGTATCAATTGGTTAATGTGATCCTTTTCTGGGAAACTGTGCAGCAGCCTAAACTCAACAACCAATAACATTAAATCAGTTAGCTTGAGGTACAATATCCACACTTCAGACTCACTCAGAGAGAATTCACCAGTGTTCTGTTACTGTACTTCTTTTTGTTTAATGTCGCTCTGAATAGGGCAACTGGAACCTTATGACGTCCTCTCCCTAAATCCAGACACATTTCCGCGTTTCTGCTCCCTCCATGACGGGAGGATTGTGGATGGAGGTCAGTGTCACTTTCAGGAACTGGAAAGCTCTGGGTGTCTGTGACTAAGCTTGTCCCAGTGTCAGCCCACAGAACCATGAGAAACAGGCTGCAGGGCCTCTCTTGGTAAGTTATGTTATACTTCTCAGATTCTAACATCCTGATATGCTGAAGAAAAAGGTGTACAGTGTGTTCAAAACTGGTTTGGCTGCTGATCCGTATCAACATGGAGGTGTTTAGAAAAATCAAATCAGAGACAACATTTCTATAACTGTGGTTAATTTGTGTAACAGGGCTTGCCCTTTGTATCTGTTAGTGATAAAAGAGAATAAGTCAATCTTACAGAAGCTGAAAAACCTCAGGTCGCCCAGCCCTTAACATGGAGAGAATGAAGTCGTCCATCTCCCGAATGGCTGACCCGCCCTTGTGTTCTGATTTACACAATCTTGTGCACATAATCACACACCGTTTCATACCCCAGTGAATGCTCCTCCCACATTTCTGTGTAAAAGAGGGAGGCTAACTATGCAGAGAGAGAGAGAGAGAGAGAGAGAGGGGGGGGGGGGGGGGGCGCCAAGATTCTGTCACAGATTCGAGACTCTAACACACCACTGAGGACTACTGGAGGCCACGTTAACCACTATGGCACCTGCTATGGAATGATCCAGAAAGATCTAGCCAGCAAAACCTAATTCCCACCAAGAGATCCCGAGAGAGGTGAGGTGAGGTGGTGACAAAAGAACCCTGGATGTTTTCACTCTGAATGAGACGGAGGGGATTTAAAAGACCTCCTGCTAAGAATGCTGGGGTTAGAGAGCCGGCTGAGGTCCTTCTCCCATCCAAACTCTGCCTCAGTATGTGGCGAGTCAGCCACAGCGCCATGACCAGGGTGGCCTCAAGACATCGACGCTCCATGCAGACGTTCTCCTTCACTCTCTGGATCCTAAATGCTTTGATTCTCAGTCATGGGAGTGACTTCCGACCAGATGAACGCAAAGGTTTGCAGCTTCTAGAGGTAAGAACCCCCAGCAGCAAACAGCTGTCACTCCCCACGACAGGCTTGTCATTAGAGGGGATGCCTGTGCTTGGGCGACTCTCAGGCTGGGTTACAACAAGTTCCGCTGCTTAATTATTAATCTCATTCCTTTTGAGGTTCATTAGCCTGAAAGTTTGTATCACATCTAACCTCCTGGGCTTGAGTTAGGTTTCATGATGCGTGAATACCGGGAATTTTACAGGGATATGTGGGTGTGTACATGTATATTCATGTCAGTGTTTATTTTTTTATTTTTTGGAAAGGAGGGTGTAACTTGCTTAAAGAATAAAGTGAACATGTGGATCATAGCGAGAACCTCATCATGATGGGAGCTCCAAGCTCCTGTATGATTACAGGAAGCCCCTAGTCTCTTAGCAAGCTGTCCTCCTCCAGTCCATCTCGTCAGGTTCCTTCTTGAAACTTTATCCCGACTTTACCCCCTTCCCATTCACCCAGCTTTTTCTTCACTTGCCAGCAGAACCTTCATACCTGACCCTCATCCGACCTCTTATTTCTGCAACCTCGTGTGGTTCGAGGTTACCTAAGGGGGCATGGAATTCTGGGGCTTCATCGGCAGGCAGGCTCATCCAGTGCGCTGCATAGATGCTGATATCCTTCGGGCAGGAGAAATCATGTTTTTGAGCGGGACAGCTGAGGAATTAACGTAATAACCTTGTGGTTTTGGGAGGAGAAGGCAGTTGAGTTTAGTCTCAATGAGATGAGGAGTAAGGCTGCCATGCATTGGATAGTGATAGATCATATAACAGAGCAGCCAATGGCTGTCCAGGGCCCCCACCCAGCCGCCCATCTCCCATTGCATCAGCAGCTTGGCCTGTCACATCCTGCTCAGTTAATGCGGATTATGTCCAAACAGGCTACCATCTGCCTGTCTGAACTCAGATACCACAACGCAGGACTACAAGCAAGTGGCGTCGGCCACAAGCTCCCACTTTAGATTGTCTGGGATTGATAAGCAGATCCTCCTGGCACCGATGGGGGGCTGTACGTGTCACAGCCCACCCTCAAACCAAAACACAAACTTCACTAACCTGCTGCAGATAACTCACAGCGCATACAGTAACAGGACACACCTCTTTCTGACAGCTGGCACGGAATTTGCCTGCAACTTCGTCCCACTTGCGAACATCATAGTGATTCCCTGGCTGAACACAGACTGATGCACCTGTGTTTTATTTTGTGAGGTGTTTCTGGCACTGGGTACAGGAAGTAGGAGGTGGTTACCCATACTGCTATAGGAGGGCAGACCGCAGACTGGTGAAGTAGGAGGTGGTTACCCATACTGCTATAGGAGGGCAGACCGCAGACTGGTGAAGTAGGAGGTGGTTACCCATACTGCTATAGGAGGGCAGACCGCAGACTGGTGAAGTAGGAGGTGGTTACCCATACTGCTATAGGACGGCAGACCGCAGACTGGTGAAGTAGGCTGGGTGGGAGGTGGGCTACAGTCAGATTGATTAATACTGACGTAACCACATGGCATGTGTAGAGTCCACTGTTGAGAAATGATGGTATCCTCAGAGTAAGGATAAGGAGTTCAGCTTCCTGAGAGATCTGGCAGATCTGCACTTTTAGAAAACGGCGTCATATTTCAAGAGCAGTTTTCAGATATTGGTTCAAGCTTCTCCTTTTATATTTTACCCTTATTTTTTTCCTTATTGTGTGAAGAGCTCTTGTTTTTAATGATGCTTTTACCAGATATTCCTGATGCAACCGAATGAAATCCCCTTTTTCAGAGAATCAGGACCACTGGTTACATTTTACACAGTATATTAACTGGATCACAAATGCATGCATCCACTTACAATAGGGGGTATCCATCCGATACAGGGTGACAAGCAGCACAGGGGGTGGGGGGGGGGGCACCCTGGACAGGGTGGCAGTCTATCAAAGAACACATACTCACACATCTTTGAGGCCCCGAGTTAAGAGCACCCAACTTACTTACAACTCATACTTACGCGAAGACTGTCATAAAGCCTGTTATATTAAAAATTTGGGTTAAACACTATGGTTTGTAATAATGAATGCATGCAGTATTTTGTAACGCTCCTGAAAACATTGCATGGCTTCATCGGTTTGTTGGCTCAAAGTACAGTACAGTACCATGTTTACGTTTACTTTTACTGTATAATAGTAGTAATAATAATATATCTGGGCTTAAATAATAATAATAATTATTATTATTATTATGTACTGCATGTATTTTTCCGACTTACAAACAAAATTCGACTTAAAGACAGACTTCAGGAACGAATCTCTCTCATAACCTGGGCACTGCCTGTACCACGGTTTTGGGCTTGGAATCTGGGAATATAGGGAGAACATGCCGCTCCACTCAAAGTAAGCAGGAATCGAACCCAGAACTCTGTGAAGCTTTGAAGGTTTTGTGCTGCCCACTGATTCAATTCTACGGCAAAACCCCCAGATAGACACCCAGACAGAGCCGCCCCATAAATCAGTGCATCCAAGCTTACTGGTAGATCTTCCACCTCCCACCAGACCCAGGGCAGCAGCAGGCAAAGGTGGCTGGAGGGGGTGTCAACCGTGGACGAGCTGCTGGAGCTGCTGTACCCTGAATACGCGCTGGCGCAGCGCTGCCTCAAGAGGATGGTGCAGGACACGCCCACTCTCCCACTGTCCAATGAGGAGACTGGCAGGTTTCCCCGAGAGGCATCCGAGCCTCATGCTGAAGAAGCCATCAAGGGTAAGGGGGCAACAGAGGAATTACACATCACAACTAGATGTGCACTTACACAGACAATCAGTGCTTCACTGCCTGAATGTTCTCCAGGGGCCCTTCCAAAGCATTTTTAATGTGTCTTTAGAGGCAAGGCCAGAAGCCAATAACCTCTTAATTCAAGCCGGCTGCTCGTTCATCGCAGTTTTCACATAGGTGCTCCTCCTCAGGCAAGCAGAGCAGACAAAATGACATTTGATGAATTAAACAAATAGCATAAATGAATAAATCAGACAACTTTCAACATGGAAGGACGGCATCCTGGGGTGTGTCGGTTGTGACCATGGGTGGCCTTGTGAGCTGTTTGTTTAGCTAATATCT